CCCGCATCAGGATTGGTGGCAGGTTCCGGGTGCAAGCGTGGCCTGCTGCTGATGGTGCGGCTGCCAGCGCGGGTGCTGCGTTGGGGCTTTGCTTCTACGGGCCCTGGTCAAGCTGCGGCGAGAGGAGGGAGAGAGGGAGGTGAAGTTGCTTCGGGCATGTCAGGGTCAGGAGTGCAGGCAGGTGTGGGGGTTGGTGTGGGGGTAGGGACGGGCAGAGTCATGGGTCAACGTGGTGGTCTGGCTGACCTGGGTGGGAGCAATCAGGGGTATGCGGAGCAGCGGCAGGTGGAGCAGAGATGCAAGTTGAGCAGCAGAAGCTGCAGCAGCAGGCGATGCTGCAGGAAGGGCAACAGGGCCAGAGGCAGCAGCAATGGCAGCAGCATGGGGGGCAGCACGGGGGGCAGCAGCAGCAGCAGCAGCAGCAGCAACAGCAACAGCAATTGCAACCGCAACTGCAGCAGCAGCAACAGCAACAGCCGCAACCGCAACTACAGCAGCAGCAGCGCAGAGGCAGCAGGGACCGCAGCGGAAGCAGCAAGCGTATCAGGGATTGTCTCAGCAGCAGCAACAACCACACCACATGTACCAGCAGCAGCTACCAACCACCGATTCTCATGTGAATTTCTCAGACGCCTGTGTCAGTGAGTCATTCTCATGGTTTCCTCCCTGCGGTTTCTTGCAACCCCTCCCCCCTCCCCAATCCCCCTCCCCCGCCCCCCCTTCCCTCCTCCACCCCCGCATCGCCTGCGTATCTTAACCGTTTTTACATGTCCCACACCCTCCCTGCCGATTTGCCAAATTCCCTGAGAATTTTGTTCACCTCCTTGCCTAATCCCATGCCCTCTGCGTCTTCAACACCCTCCCTTCGTCTCCACCCCCTCTTTTGCGAATTCCCTGCTCGCCCCTGCATTTCCTGTCCCCTCCCTGCGCATCCCATCCTCCCTTCTCCCTGCGCCTCTCTTTTTCTTCCTGTCTGCAGCAATGCCAGGGTACCTGCCACCAGGCCCTTCCATCCCATCCGGCCCAGCACAGGCGGGAGGGGCAACGGAGCAGGCAGGTCGGGTGGGTGGCGCGTCTCTCATGATTCCCACGCCTGGCGGCCCTCCCGTGATGGACGCTGGGGGCCTCACTGCCTCTGCTGCTCGCGACGGCGCCTTTCGTGGGGCTGGGGCAGCAGGGGGGGCGGGTGGGGCAGGTGGGGCTGTGGTGGACGGTGCTGCTGTGGCCGGGACTGGTGCCGGTGCTGCTGGCGTGGGTGGTGCAGGCGGTGTGATGGCGCATCAGCAGCACTCACGTCAGCAGCCGCAGCAGCACCCGCATGTTAAGGGGAACGCGGGATTTCCACAGCGGATGCAGGGTGGAAAAGGGCCTGTGGGCTCACAGCAAACGCAGCAGCAGCAGCAGCAGCCCTCCGGTTCAACACCCGGTTCGGGAGCAACAGGTGCAGTGCTGAATGGCGTGCCTGCTAGTACCGAACCTTCTGCCAAAGCCACTGCAGCTGCAGGAGCAGCGGCGGGAGCAGCGGCAGGAGCAGGGGCAGGAGGAGGAGCGACAGCAGGAGCAGGGGCCGTGGCATTGGTGGAAGCGGGAGCAGGGACGGGAGCAGCAGGGGATATAGCAGCAGGAGGCGGCGCGATCGACCCCCAGCGGGCCATGCAGTACCAGCGGCAGCAGAAGTGGTTGCACACGCTGCGCCATGCGTCTCGCTGCATCGCTGCCAACGGCTCCTGCAACGTGGGCGCGCACTGCCGCGTGTTTCGAGAGCTCTGGGCCCACTGCTCCCGCTGCAAGGACCCTGAGTGCGCTTACCCCCGCTGCGTCCCTTCCAGGAAGCTTCTCCACCATCACCAGATCTGCCGGGATCCCAAGTGCCCCGTGTGTGGGCCTGTGAGGCGCGCGTTTCAGCAGCAGATGCTGGCGGCGAGAGCGAATGCGGCGGCTGCTGCGGCTGCGGCGGCTGCCGCTGCTGCTGCGGCTGCGGCTGCAGCAGCTGCTCCTGTAGTGACTGCTGCAGCTGATGCCGCTGCGGGTACTGGGAATGAGCGACAGGACGGGAAAGAGGTCGAGGCAGAGGCAGGTGCCATTGATGGTCAAATCACGACCGTGCCTGTGGCGGATGGAGCAGTTGCGGTGAACGGCGACGCTTCCAATGCTGCAGCAGCTGCAGGTGGGCAGGGAGATCACTCCACTGCTGTGCCGGTTGTCACCACTGGTACCGCCAAGCCTGCACCTGCACCTGAAGACACAGCCACAGGCAAAGGGGCATCTGCCAATGGAGCTTCGGCTCCTGGTGTTTCTCTGCCGCTGGGTCCTGCTGCTGGGGCTGCAGGGGCTGTAGAGAGGGCAACACAAGCTGGTGCTACTGCCGCAGCCAGTGCTGCTGCTACTGCTGCTGCCAGTGCTGCTAGAGCAGCAGGAGCAGCGGCGGCTTCAGGCTCAGCTGGTGCCACGGGTGTTGCTGGGTCGGCCATTACAGGGCAGAAGAGGCCGAATGAGGGAGCTAGGCGCGGGGAGGGCGGGGTGGCAGAGGCAGGGCGGGAGAAGGAGAGGGAGAAGGAGAAGGGGGCAGGGGCGCAGCCGCTAAAACGAGCCAAGCTGGAAGGCGGGGTGGGGGTCTAAAGGCTGCAGGTGGTGGGCCAAAGCGGAGCTCTGGCGTGAAGGCAGAGGCTGGCGCTGCTGCAGCAGCAGGAGGAGGAGTGGGTGGTGCTGGTGGTCCTGGCGGTGCTGCTGGTGCTGCTGGTGGCGAGAAAGAGAAGCCTGAGAGGCCTGTTGTGCCAAGGCTGGCAAGGCTGCTGGCAGCAAGATGCAGGGAAGTGCCAATGGCGCTCTTGCAGGGAGAGCGGGCGCACAGGCTAAGGCTGCTGCTGCCGCTGCTGCTGCTGCTGGTGGTGCTGCAGTGAAGGCAGAGGGAGGGGTAGGGTCAGCAGGGGCAGGGGCAGGGCAGGTGAAGGCGGAGGGTAGGACTGGGGCAGGTGCGTCTGGCGCGGGTGGTGCTGGTGGCGGCGCAGCGAGTGTGAAGGCAGAGCCTCGGACAGAAGATAGCAAGGCGCTTGTCCCTGCAGGTGGGGCAGGAGCAGTCACCACCTCAGCAGCAGCTGCTGCAGCAGCAGCATCAGCAGCGCAGCAGCTGCGGCGGCAGCAGCGAACAACAAGAACATGAAGAGCAAAGGCGTGGGCACGTCTCTAACCGAGCTCTTCACCCCGGAGATGATCCGGCTGCACGTGCGGAGCCTGAGGCAGTGGGTGGGGCAGAGCAAGCAGAAGCAGGAGAAGCTGCAGGCGGCGCAGCAGCTGCAGCAGCAGCAGCCGCGGGACAGCGACTGCCGGCTGTGCTCCGTGGAGAAGCTCTTCTTTGACCCGCCGCCCATCTACTGCACGGCGTGTGGGCGCAGGATTCAGAGGAACAAGGCGTATTATGCCACGCCGGGCGCGGGCGACCAGCGGCAGTGCGTGTGTAACCGGTGCTATGGGGACTTCCGAGGGGATGCGATCACGCTGGAGGGGCTCCGGCCGATTCCCAAGGCTAGTCTCACCAAGAGAATTAATGATGAGGAGACAGAGGAAGCGGTATGTGCATTTCTTGTGCATTTCTTTCTCCCTGGTCCTCCCATTTGGTTTTCTCCGTTTGATCTTGCTGGCTCCCCGTCCCAACCTACTCTCCCTGTTCCCCCCTCCTTCCCTTGTATGCGCAATCTGCTGGTAAGTTGGTAACCTTCGTCTCTCACTCTTCCCTTTCTGTTGTTCCCGCGCGCTCCAACTGAGCAGTGGGTGCAGTGCGACACGTGTGACCGGTGGGTGCACCAGGTGTGTGCGCTCTTCAACGGTGACCATCGTCTCTCACACTACCCCTTCCTCTTCCTTCCCCTGCCCCTCCCCCCTCGCTCCAACTGAGCAGTGGGTGCAGTGTGACACGTGCGACCGGTGGGTGCACCAGGTGTGTGCGCTGTTCAACGGTGACCATTGTCTCTCACACTACCCCTTCCTCTTCTTTCCCTGCCCCCTCCCCCCTCGCTCCACCCCCACCAGTGGGTACAATGCGACACGTGCGACCGGTGGGTGCACCAGGTGTGTGCGCTCTTCAACGGGCGGCGCAACGAGGGCGAGGCGGAGTACACGTGTCCGCTGTGCTGCTGCGAGCAGATGGAGCGAGGCCTCCGGGCGCCTCTCCCGCCCTCCACCGTGCTCGGCGCCGAGACCTGCCCCGCTCGCGCCTCTCAGATCATTTAGAGGGGCGGCTGGCGAAGAGGCTGGCGCAGGAGAGGGAGGAGAGGGCCAGGCAGCAGCGGAAGAGACCAGATGAGGTGAGGCAAGCTGCAGAGGAAGAATGTGGATGAGGTGAGCATGGTCCGTAGGTCCTTATCGTGCCAGCTGTCCCCCTCCATTGGTAGCCGTCACATCTGTGCTCGGCGCCAGGGACCTGCCTCGCTCGCGCCTCTCGGATCATTAGGGGCGGCTGGCGAAGAGGGCTGGCGCAGGAGAGGGAGGAGAGGGCCAGGCAGCAGAGGAAGAGACCAGATGAGGTGAGCCTAATCGGTCCTTGTGGTGCCAGTCAGTCAGGTGCCACCACATCCCTTGGTAGCCGTCACTCGCTCACATCCACTGGGCTGGGCCCGTCAGGAACGCTGCCTCACCCCCCAGCTTGAAGCTCCGAGAGGGGCGGCTGGCGAAGAGGCTTTGAAACCATGGACTTTGGCTGGAGACCCTTCCTTGAGGCAGCTCAGCAAAGCACCTGGTTAAAAGCGTTGCTTGTCGTTGTTCCCTGTGTGCATGCAGGTGGAAGGGCCCGAGGAGCTGGTGATTCAAGTGGTGTCGTCGTAGAGAAGGGAAGGGAGGGTGGAGACTTTTGATTTTACTCAGAACGTGCTCTCATTCGCTGTGTGTGTGTGAGAGCAGGTGGAAGGGCCGGAGGAGCTGGTGATACGAGTGGTGTCGACCGTGGACAAGAGGATGGAGACTCTTGCATTGACTCTGAGGTTTTCTCTTGTGCCTTCATTCTCTGCGTATCTGTGTGTGGTTATGCAGGTGGAAGGGCCCGAGGAGCTGGTGATCCGAGTGGTGTCATCGGTGGACAAGAGGATGGAGACGAAGCCACGCTTTCTCAAACTTGTTCCCAGATGGGGAGTACCCCAAAGAGTTCCCTTACAAGTCCAAGGTGCGGGGGGCAGGGGAAGAAAGGGCGGGAAGGGGCATGAGAGTGATTAAAGGTATGTCTCTTTTAATTCAAGTGAACTGAAATGCCCCCTTTCCAGGTGGTGCTGTTGTTCCAGCCACATAGTGGGGGGGGATGGAGGTGTGCCTCTATGCCAGTCAGTGAGCCCTCTCTTTACACCCGCTCCATATTCTCCTCCCTCGTCCCCCCTCCCACTTCCTCCACAACGCTCACCAGGTGGTTGCTGCTGTTTCAGCGCATAGAGGGCGTAGAGGTGTGTCTCTACGCCATGTACGTGCAGGAGTTTGGTGCCGACTGCCTGCCGCCCAACCACCGCCGCATCTTACCTCTCCTACCTCGACTCCATCAAGTACTTCCGCCCTGACGTCCGTGTACGGTCAACGGGGAGGGCCCTGAGAACGTTCGTGTACCACGAGATTCTGGTGAGTGACCTTGCCTCTAGGCGCAGGTGTGCTTGCTTGCTGCTAGGTGCTGGTGAATTTCTGGTTCAAGCCAACCACCGCCGCATCTACCTCTCCTACCTCGACTCCATCAAGTACTTCCGCCCGGGACGTCCCGCACCGTATATGGGGAGGCCCTGCGGACGTTTGTCTACCACGAGATTCTGGTGAGCAATCTTCTCAGTGCACCACCCTCTTGCCATTCTCCATCTACCTCTCCTGCCTCCACTCCATCAAGTACTTCGCCCGGACGTGCGCACTGTCAACGGGGAGGCCCTGAGCACATTCGTCTGCCATGAGATACTGGTCAGTGACCTTGCCAATGCACTGCCTGCGTTCAATAGGGTAATATAGAAGGCTCAGAGGCCCCATATCGTCTCCCTTTGCCCGTCCTTCCCCCCGTTTCTCCTGCCCTGTGTCAACCCTTTACATGCGCACCAGATCAGGTAACTAGAGCATTCCAAGATGCGTGGTTTCACGACTTGCTGCATCTGCAGTAGCTGTCACAACATCGAGAGCAGAGGACCACATCCCAAAATATCTTTCTAACTTTCGTGTCAACACCCCACCACCCCCCCCTCCCCCCCTCCCCCCCTCCCCCCCTCCTTCGCCCCACCAGATCGGGTACCTGGAGTATTCCAAGTGCGTGGCTTCACGAGTTGCTACATCTGGGCGTGCCCGCCGCTCAAGGGCGAGGAGCTACATCGCTCTACTGCCACCCCGAGATCCAGAAGACACCCCAACCCCGTCAAGCTGCGCGAATGGTTATGCTCTCAGCTGTGCTGCGCGAATGGTGCATTGCTTGCTGTGGCCATGCCATGCTGTCAGCCGCACGTATGATGGGTGCACTGAAAACTGATCAATCTACTGCCTCCGGAGTATCTCAGTCGGGTTGACACCGCTCCAATTGACTGATCCAAACATGCGTGGTTGAACTGAAACCAAACTGATTTTGCTTCCACCTCGACCGTTCCTCCCGCTCTTCCCATCCCCTTCACAAGGTACCTCACCATGCTGCGGAAAGCCACGGCAGAGAGCATGGTGGTGGAGGTGAGCAACCTCTACGACACCTTCTTCTTGTTCAACCGCCTCTCTCCTACACCTCCCTTCCATCCCCCTTCTCCAGGTATCTCACCATGCTGCGCAAGGCAGACTGCAGAGAGCATGGTGGTGGAGGTGAGCAACCTATACGCACCTTCTTCTCTTTCAACCGCCTGTTCCCCTCTCTTATCCCACCCTCCCACCCATCTCCCTTTATTAACAGGTACCTCACCATGCTGCGGAAAGCCACCTCCAGAGAACATCGTGGTGGAAGTGAGCAACCTGTACGACACCTTCTTCGTGCAGATCGGGGAGTGCCGCGCGCTGCCCTCCGCAGCCCGCCTGCCGTACTTTGACGGGGACTACTGGCCGGGCGCCATGGAGGACGAGCTGCAGAAGCTGCTGGAGGAGCGCGAGGAGGAGAAGGCCGGAGGGAAGGGGCCCAAGAAGGCAAAGAAGAGCAAGGCTTCGAGCAAACGGGGGGGGCGGAGGGGGCAGGGATGAGGATTTGGGGACGCCTGCGTCCCTGGACAAGCAGCTGATGAGCAAGGGTGAGAGGGAGGGGGAGGAGAGAGGGAGGTGATTGGGCTCCCTCGAAGGGGTAAGGAAGCGAGGGCGTTTGCAGGTGGGAGGGGAGAGATGTGAGAATGTTCTGTGGGGACGTGAGAACGGTGGTACAGGAGAGGGCAGGGGGGAGGGATGACGGCCTGTGGACTCCGGCTTCGCTGGATAAGCAGCTGATGAGCAAGGTGAGAAAGGAAGGTGGGGGGCAGGGGTAAAGTAAATGAGAGGGCAAGGGTGAAGTATCCAAGGCATTCTTGTATGCGGCAACCTGTTCAAGGAGCTAACCCTGCCTCGCTCCCTCTCGCTCCCTCGTTCCGCCTCGCTCCCTCGCCCCACCCGCAGCTGGGCAGCACGATACTGCAGATGAAGGAGGATTTCATAATGGTACACATGCACTACTGCTGCTCGCACTGCAAGAACTTCATCATCACCGGCAACAGATGGGTGTGCTTACAGCCGCAGTGCAAGCACTTCAACATCTGCGACTCGTGAGCCCTTCCATTCATCCGCTGCCCTCCCCTCCCCTCACCTACAGCCCTCCCCTCCCCTTCCCTCCCCTACAGCCCTCCCCTCCCCTCCCCTTCCCTACAGCCCCTCATTGCCTTTCCTTCCTTGATCATGCTCCCTCTTGTGGTCGTGCTCTCTCGTCTATCTGCTTTCCTCCTTGCTGTTTCCGTCTTCCCGCCCCAGTGTTCCCACCATCCCTGCGCATTCCTCCTAACCATTCTCCCCCCCCCCTCCCCCTCCCCTCGATTCCTCCCGCCCATTCATTCCTTCCACCCATCCATCCGCCCATCCCTCCCGTCCATTCCTCCGCGCGGCTCATGTCTCCCGCCCGTGCAGGTGTTTCAAGCAGGAGGAGCGGCGCAGCCCCGTGGACCGCCACCCTGTGCTGCTCAAGGAGGCCCACCAACTAGCTCCGGTGAGTGCTCCCTACCAACTCACACCCGTGACTGCTTCACACACACACACACACACACACACACACACACACACACACACACACACACACACACACACACCAGGCCTTCCTGAAACTGTTTCTTTTATTGATCCCTCACTCTGCCATCGCCATGCACTTCTTCACTTCACCCACCACTTGCAACCCTCTGCACCCCTCCCCCCTCTGCACCCCTCCCCCTCCCCTTTCACCCCATTTGCCCCGTGTTCCCACAGCGCCTCATTGACCCGCCAGTCCCCTTGGAAACAAAGGATCCCGACGAAGTGGTGGAATCAGAATTCTTTGGCACACGCCAGGCCTTCCTGTCGCTGTGCCAAGCTCTCCTTGCTCATGCCACTACCTGCACCCCCTCCCGTCCCCCCCACCCCCAGCGCCCCATCGACCCGCTAGTACCAGCAGAAAACAAAGGACCCAGAGGAGGTGGTGGAGTCGTAGTTCTTTAATATGCGGCAGGCCTTGCTGTCTCTGTGCCAAGCACTTCTTGCTCATGCCACTACCTGCGACACCCTCCTCCCCCCCCTGCACACCCTCCCCTTTCCCCTTCCCCTCCCCTCCCACCGTTTTCCCCCTCCCAGCGTCCCATCGACCCGCTGGTTCCTTCCGAAACAAAGGACCCCGACGAAGTGGTGGAGTCGGAGTTCTTTGACACACGCCAGGCCTTCCTGTCGCTGTGCCAGGGCAACCACTACCAGTACGACACTCTCCGCCGCACCAAGCACTCCTCCCTCATGGTGCTCTACCACCTGCACAACCCCCCTTCCTTTGCCCTCTGCTCCCCCTATCCCCCCTCCCCCCCTCCCCCCCCATGCGCACCCCTCCCCTCCCCCTTGCGCCCGCAGAGGCCCATCGACCCGCCAGTCCCTACGGAAACAAAAGATCCGGATGAAGTGGTGGAGTCTGAATTCTTTGACACGCGGCAGGCGTTTCTCTCTCTCTGCCAGGGCAACCACTACCAGTACGACACGCTGCGCCGCGCCAAGCACTCGTCGCTCATGGTGCTCTACCACCTGCACAACCCCACCGCGCCCGCCTTCGTTGTCACCTGCAACGCGTGCCAGCGCGACATTGAGAACCGGCAGGGGTGGCGGTGCGAGCAGTGTCCGGATTATGATGTGTGCGCCCAGTGCAAGGACACGTGTGGACACCCGCACCCGCTGGTGTCGCATGCGAGCCAGCCGGATAGGAACGCGCAGAGCCAGGAGGGACGGCAGCAGCGTATCAAGGAGGTGAGTGGGGGTGGAGGGCAGGGAAGGTGTGTGTTTGAATGGCACGGAGGTGGGGGGACTGGATGACGGCCTGGCTGGCAGGGAGCATTGGTTGGGGCTGTGTGGGGGGTTTTGAGATGGGTCCACTGCATCCTGTCTTTGAGAATTCTCAAAAAACATAAGATGGGTCCACTGCATCCTGTCTTTTGAGAATTCTCAAAAAACATAAGATGGGTCCACTGCATCCTGTCGCCCCCAGCCGGGCACCGTGTGCACGTACCCCAAGTGCAGCATGGTCAAGATGCTCTCTTCCCTTCCCATCCCTCCCTCCTCCTTTTCTTTCTGCTTGTGCCCCAACAGGTGCGGAAGATGCTGGAGTTATTGGCTCACGCAGCGTCCTGCCGCCCCCAGCCAGGCACGGTGTGCACGTACCCCAAGTGCAGCATGGTGAAGATGCTGTTCCGCCACGGCACCATCTGTGCCGTGCGCTCAGCGGGGGGTTGCCAGCACTGCAAGCGCATGTGGGGGCTGCTGCACCTGCACGCACGCTCCTGCAAAGACAGCCTCTGCAAAGTGCCGCGCTGCAAGTGAGTTTGCGCAGTAGCAGGGGGGGGGTTCAGGAGCAAGGCTCGGACCTGCGTGGTCCACAGGTTTGCTGTGCCTTCTTTCTGGCAAGTCTCGTGTATAAGATGGAATCAGATCTTCTGGAAGGGTATCTTCTTATCCAACCGTCTTGTCCTCTGCCCTGCTCTCTGCCAGCCTTTCTTTATGCTGTTTCTTTATGCCGTTTCCCTGTTGCCTTTTGATTTGCCCCCCCATTCCATTCTCCACTCGCAGGGATCTCAAGGAGGTTCCGGCGGTCAGACTTTTGAGGCGCCTCTAAAGTCGTCTATATGCCCTTTCTCGTTGCCCGTTGCCCTTGATGATCTATTCTTTCCGCCCACTCGCAGGGATCTCAAGGAGCATTTCCGGCGGTCGGCACAGCAGATGGAGTCGAGGCGGCGCAAGGCTGTGCAGGAGATGATGAGGCAGAGAGCAGCGGAGGCGGCTGGAGGGGCGCTCAAAAGATGATACGGTGGAGAGCGATTGGGACAGGTGAGGTGAGGGCGGTTGTGTGTGAGTGGTAGGGCTATTCAGGAGATGATGAGACAGTGAACATGAGGGGCGCTCAAGAGATGAGGCAGTGGAGAGCGGTGGAGACAGGTGAGATGAGTGGCATTGTGTGCATATCAGGGTCGTATAGGAGATATGATTGAGAGAGCAGCTGAGGCAGTGGGATGGGCGCTCTAGAAATTAAGATCTGAAGCATTGGAGCACTGGTCACGTGACAGGTAGGACATCTGTGCATGGTTGTGTGTTAGAACCATGCAGACATGGCATGACAGAGAAGAGTGAAGTGCTGGGACATTTACTCCGCCCTCCCAAGCCTGTAGCACCGCACAAAATGCATGTTGGGAGGAGAGTATCTTGTGAGACTTCTCAATAATTGCCAGCAGAAGCACATTTGAGTGCGTGCTCTCACTCACGGCAGGTGCTGGAGAGCAGAAAGGAAAGAGAGTAGAGAGCGCTGCTTTGCTTCATGGGAAGCATAAGCCCCTTACAGGCTGTGCCATGCCATGCCTTGGCTTACCGTGCCTGCCTTGCTGATCCTCTACGATTCCCCACCTCTCCTTTCTCCCCCCACACCCCCTTCCCCACCCACCTGCATTGTTCCCTCCAGAACTCTTGCTGGATATTGGTGTGGTGGCTGGCGGGTGGCTCACAGCAAGTACTCCATAAGGCTTTGAGAGGCAGTTTCAAGAGAATTGCTTGTAGTGGGGGGGGGTGCTGACTGCAGGGGAGGCCAAGCCTGGAGAGAGAGATATGTGGTTTAGCCTAGCCGCCTGTTCCTGTATATTCAAGTGTAAATGCGAGTGGGGACAGGAGTGGGCTAGAGGAGAGGAGGGAATGACTGGGAATGTGACCATTGGGGAGTTTGAGGACTGAGAGTTGGGAGGCGGAAGTGATGTGCTGCGCGCTGTTTGAGCAACAGCTGCCATCTGCGTAGTCTCTTGTTTTATAGGGTTTTGTGTTTCGAGTTGAGGCTGTAATGTGGGGTGGCCCTGCTCAGGTTGCACTATGTGCAGCATGATCGTGGGTGTGCTGCTGCAACCAGGTAATTGAATGAATGAACTCTGTCCGGTTACCATACCTGTATCAATCAAAACCCGCACTGGGTACTGCTGTATGTCTCTTCAAACGAGTCAGTTCAAAGCCTTGAAGCTGTCTGTATCCTCTCCTCCTGTTCCCTCTTGAGTGGAGAGGGATGCATGAAAGGGGTTGTGAGTGGGTGTTGGGGTTTGGGAGTATAGATGGAGCGGCGAGCTGTTTGTGCAACACCTGCAGCGTGCTTAACTCGTTTAGCTGGGTTTGGGGTGAGATGAAGCGTGTGGTGTGGTGGCTCTATCCTGGCCGCATGATGCACGCGTGCAGTTGAGAATCTCTCATGGAGGAAGTCTTGATGTGTCAAGACTTCAACTCTCTGTGTCCCTTTACATTAGTCAGTTTCAACTACCATCTGTGTCCCTTGACATTAGCCAGGTTCAACTATCTGTGTCCCTTGACATTAGCCAGGTTCAACTATCTGTGTCCCTTGACATTAGCCAGGCTCAACTATCTGTGTCCCTTGACATTTGCCAGTTTCAACTAACTGTGTCTCTTGACATTAGCCAGTTCCAACTCTCTGTGTCTCTTGGCATTGGTCTGATCGTGGCTTCTCTGTCTTGATAGCTCTGCTTCATTCTGTTTCTTGTGGCTGAAGCAAGAATCTGCTTGTGCTTCGCTCCTATGTATCAATGCAAAGACAACGACTCGTAGTAACCATGTACACCATTCGGCCGTATGTTACATCAGAAAGCTAAAGAAATGGGACAGGGAGGAACGTTACTAGCCACTCGTGCAATGTCTAACAGTTCATTATTCTTCTTCCCACCAGCAGTAACTCGTTAGGTCGGAAGAAGCGCACGTATCCAATGTTGAGTCGAGCGCACCTTGAAGGGAATTCGAAAGTGCCTGATCACCCCAATAACTTGCAGCGGTGCAAAACGTGCTCGTCGGTTCACATCCAAGCGCACCTGCAGCTGCCTTTATTCCAAAAACTCCTACCCGCCGCCGCTTCTATCACTAAAGCTTCTTGAAATTCTTAAGTTTGTTCGGCTGGCCCAAGGCCGACCCATCCACCGCATCCACGAGCAGCGTGATCAGCGCGCTCACGACACCATTCCCTTTGGGCGTCATCGACTTCGTCATCGGCATCGTCGTCTTACCGCCTCGCAGCATCGTCTTGATTTTCTTGAACGCGCCGCCCACGCCGCCGGAAGGACCGCCTCCGAGCGTGTAGGCTCGCTAGCGGGCAACGCGGAGGAATCGGTGGCTTTGATCTTGATGCGGTAGCTGCCGCTCGGAACCTCGAGCTCCTCCTGAGCGGACACCACCGACACGAAGCTGTACAGCGTGCCCTGGGTGGTGGGGAAGGCGGGTGGCGGGAGAAGGAGGGGGGGAGGGGGGGGGGGGGGGGGGGGGGTGGAGAGAGGAGGGGACGAAGAATTGACGGGTAGCCCGCGTGAGTTGGCGGCGGTGACAGCGGTGGTGGTGGAATAAAGGGACGCGGCAATGCCATCCGTTCGAAGACGAGGCCTGAGAGCATGGGCTCGAATACGCGATGACTCGCGTTCAATGCGACGGGTTTTCGTCGGCAGGGCATGTTCATGCGAATTTCGCGAAGGGATGAGGTAACGTGGATAAGGTCTGACCGTTTTGCTGTTAATCTCGCGGATGGCCCACTGCGCCAGGGATCTGATCTCATCGCTGCTCGCGGCGCCTTTAACGTCAGTATAGGTCCCTCCGACGCGGGCCATCGATAGTGCCTCCACACGTGCCGAAGCGCAGACGAGTACCACCGCGGCCGCTAGCACGATGGCGAAAAAGGACGAAGCGCGGCGCTCCATATCCTCTGCTTGGCCGGTGCGATATAAGCTGGTCAAGACCTCGATGAAGTCTTGGACTTCAAAGCAGAGCTCAAAACGGCTTGAAACGTAGGTCACGGGGACAGGAAGCAGGAAAGTAGCACACTAGTATTGGAGTGGGATAGACAGGCGAATTGCAGAGGCACTTCAGAGAGGAAAGAACCGGGCGAGAAAGGTAGGTTGAGTAAACAGGAGTTGCTTCCCCAACTCTTTTGTAGGTAGAGGTGAAGCGGCTGGATTTGAGAGCCCTGCTGGAGCACCTCGCATAAACCGCTCTGCACCACGACAGAATGAGTGTGGATTATCCTAAACCGCTCTGCATGGATCCTGTACGGACCGCGGGTTGTGAGGACCACCAATGTCTGAATTATTTCCGCTGGAGCCGTGCTATGCGACGAAATTCGCATTATTGGGCTACTAGAGGCGATGAATGACCATTTCCTTCCAATCACGAGGTGTTATTTCAACATGTCGGAATGAGCGAGCATCTGCGACGATCAATAATTCAATTTCTGCGAAACATGGTCGGCTGGCTGACCCTTGCGTCCTCCGCGCCTCACTTCAAGCCGAACGAAAATATGACGCGATATGGACAGACAGACTTCCTTGATCATAAGTCGGGAACAGTTGAATCTTGATTTGTCTATAACATAATTGTAGTTTTGTTGTATTGAAGCTCTACTGTACCAGCTTTGCTACATGTCTCTCACGTCCCACCTATATCCTCAGCTCAGACCTAAATATACTCCAGTCCTTTCACCATCACCCTGCTGTGCTCTCCGCCGCCTCGCGCCACTCCACCGTCTTCCACTCCCGCCATTCTTCCGCCACTCGCGCGCGCTAATCGCCACCCATCCGCGCTCGCGTGCGCCGTTCCCGATCCTTAAATCTCTTGATCTTTCCGAAGCGCCAGGATGAGCGGCAAGGCGGCGGTGCAGCGGGCGTTCAAGGCGATCGACTGGGAGAAGCTGAGTCGTGTGGTGGTGAGCGAGGAGGGAAAGCGCGAGATGGCGGCGCTCAAGCGCGCGCACGACGAGGTGTCGCACACGCTCAACACGAAGTTCAACGAGGTCTGGTTACCCGCCGTAGTGTGCAAATGCGATCTTAGAGTTACTCCACTGCCAGTAGGTGGACTTTGAGCCGAGCCTGAAGCGCGTGCACGACGAGGTGTTGCACACGAGCAGCTGTCTCTCGCGAGTAGCTATCGCACGCGAGTAGCTGTCGCACGCGAGGAGGTGTCGCTCGCGAGGAGGTGTCGCACACGCTCAATAAGAAGTTCAACGAAATTATATCCAGTCGCGGATAATCTTCGTCCTAGGACCAGTCGGCCCTATATTTATACTTCATCGTTCTCGCCTCATGAATCCTCCGGGCTCGTATATCTTGGCGACTTGGCTGCGAAAACCGTGAAGCTCACTGAGGTCGCTAAGGCGGGTACGGTGTCTCAGGCTAGTACCGGCACTCGGATCACCAAGACTACTCGGATTTCGCCTTCTTTCCTGCGACGCTGCCGCTTTATGCGACGCTGTGGCCGCATACAACCTGCTGGTGCTCTTTTGCGCGAAACCCTAACATCTGTGACCTGCGGGTAACCCGTCGTCGGCGTTGTATATCTCTCGTGCGGGGTCGTTGTAACCAGAATGGCCAACGGCAATGCAGTTAGTACCCGTCTGATCACCCTTGTTGTGGCCGGGATTCACTGGTTGCACGCTTCGCATCGTGCTCACTTCCTCCTCATTCCCTGTTCCAGTTACAATTCTCTGTAGTGCTGCGTCTCATGCGAGCAGAAGGAAGTAGCGATCGTCTGGGCTCTGTACCGCTGTGAAGTGGCTATTTACCCAATTCCTTCTCATTCTTAGCGTCCCGGTTTTCTGTCGTGTTATCCCTCATGGCATGCGAGCGAGCAGAAGGTGGTGGAGATCGACTGGGCGCTGTACCGCTCGAAGCTCAACCCCAAGGTCGTTGACATGTTCGAGCAGTCGTACAAGAGTGAGTCTCTTGCTTCGCCTTGCATAGTGTGTGGGACTGTAGGTTGGAAGATGGTGGTGTGAGAATGATTGGGTTGACTGAGGAATGTTGGGATAGCCACATTTATGAAACCGATTGTCTCGTGCTTTCTATCGCCCGCCCCTTTTTCACTCTCTCGCCCACTTGTTATTTTGTTCTCTTGAGGGGGGGGGGGGGGGGGGGGGGGGGGGGGGGGGGGGGGGGGGGAGGGGGGGGGAGTGGTGGTGTGTCGGGGTGGGGGGGTGGGGGGGGATGAGGGGGGATGTGGTGCGGTTGAGGCGTGCAGGCATTGAGATCCCGGACTATGTGGACACGCTCACTCCTGAGTTCGAGAAGGAGCATCAGCAGCTGGTGCGTACCCTAATTCTCTTCGTGTGAAATTCGTTTGCATTGAGTTAGATTTGAGTCGCCCCCCCCCCCCCCCCCCACACTCTGCATTCTTCTTTTGTATGCCCATCCCTGCCCCACACTGCCCCACATTCTTCCATTGCACACCCTTCACCGTCGCATAACCATTTCCACCCTTGCATGTATGCCAGGGTGCTTTCCCTCACGCACCTCTTGTGTCACTCTATGCTCTGACGCATGTCTCCTGCATGGCATATGTGTGTGTTTGGGGGGAATGAGGGGGGAGTGTGAGCCATGTGTTGGTGTGTGATTTGAATATGCATGTGTGTGTGCGTGTGTGTATGTTTGTGTGCGTGCATGCATGTGTGTGTGTGCACCTTTGGTTATTGTCACAGGTGGCCAAGGCAGCGGAGGAGGAGGAGGTATCAAAGCGTGAGGCAGCCCGTCTTAAAGACGAGATAGAGAAGATTCGAGCGCAGAAGGTGCGTGCACATGCCGCCCATTTCTCGTGCCCCTTTCACTTAACCCCGTTAGCCCTACAATGTGAGATGTAGATGCTTTGTACTGGGCATATCGATGCTCCTCCGATGCCTAGTTTCTACCTTTGTCTGCCCTTTCTCCCTTCGAAGTGCAAATTCTTGCACCATTCATGTGTCGTGTCGTGTCCTGTTTTCCCCTGTAACCTGCATGTGCCAATTGCGAGTTACAGGATGCACTGAAGACGATGACAGTGGATGAGTATCTGGCCAAGAATCCCAAGCTCAAGGAGAAGTTTGACGAGGAGATTCGCAACCACAACTGGGGCTATTGAGCTAGAGGCTGCTGAAGCAGAGATTGCCTTAGGTCGCAAACAAGTTACACAAGTTACACCTTGCATTGTAGCCATGCTTGTCAATATGAATGTTATGCGTGATATGGTAGGATTTGAATCAAAAGTACAAGGGTTAAGAAGTACTGTACGTACAAGCATAAAAAGCTCATTCTTCAAAGCTATTGTACATTCCACATGCTATTGATTGTATCCAAGTAGCACTACATTAGTGTTGAAGTGATATGTGTAACGTTCGCAGTCTGGTCGCTGCGGAGCAGATTTTTCGTTGACCTGCGGCGAGCGAGCACAGCTCCGTCCATCCACCCACTCCCAAGGTGGGGAGAAACCATCGCAACCAATCCCAAGGGCGCACGCACACGGCAGTCAGTCTCGTCAATCAGGCATGGCGGATTGAATGATCCACTGCAGTTTTCCTCTGCAGTCAGGCATACTGCTGCAAACTGAGATCCATCTGTCACTCACCTCTCTTCGCCCTGGTTTTGATTCTGAATTCTTCTGTCCAGAAGCAACAGCCGCTTAGGAAAGCTCCGCCAGACCCGCTCCTCGCGTATCTGGTTCTCTGGCGATCCCTAGGGTTGTTGCCCCGGACTAGTTTATTTAGGACTTCTCCATTTCTTTTTGGTTCTCCTTTTCTACTCAAGGTCGCTGAAAATGCAGTTTCGTGTAGTTTGTCCCTGACTTACCCCGACCATGAACGATTATGCACGTCAGCAGGCTTTATATGTCATGCCTGCGTGACTCGCATCGTTAATTGCCGTGATCTTCCTGTCGCTCGTTGGCTTTGCAGCTTCTTATGGCGTGTTTGCTAGCCTCCTCGTACAAGCACATTCCCCACGTTGTACATTCCTCGCCCGTTACAAGCACATCCGTTTCGAAACCCCCGAGCGCTCCTCATGGAAGGCCGTGGCCTCGCACGCTTCGGGAAACGTCGTCTCTTAGCGCGTATAGACGGCCGGCTCGCGTGGCAGCTCGCCTTAGCAACGCGTCTTGGTCACCAAGGCAGAAGCAGCAAGCGAGCCGAGTTGGTTTTCACCGTGTGACCGTCTCACCGTTGCGACAGTCTCACGCTGGGTCCGCCAGTCAGAGCAACGGAACAGCCGCAGCGACATCGTCAGCAGTGGCAGCATCAGCGACAGCAGCAGCTTCGTTGATCCATTCTGCGGCCTCTTCACTCGCAGCCGTCCTCGCGATCACTCTCACAGCCACGTTTAAGGCAGCATCGTTACAAGAGACATCTGAATCCACATCTGCTGCTGCTGCTGCTTCATCGGGATCCCCCAGATCATCCCCTGCTCTGAATCACAGAAAGAGAGCAGTACACAGAATCCCGCGCTCCAGGCCAATCCACGCCGTCAGATCATTCGTAGTCCATGCGCACCGTCCGATCAGAATCTCGGGGCTTTCAAATTCGTCATCTCGTGTTATCATTCTCAAGAGACGGAGCGGCAGAAGCCGTCGAGCTGCCGTCAGTGAGCCGTTTAATGAAACCCTAGATTTGAGAGCATGTAGGTGGAAAGGCCTAGCTTCCGAAACAGGTGGACTGGAAGCTGTAGAATTTAGGGCAAGTGGACGGACAGGATGCACGCATGGTCTCAGAAGATGGGGCGTGGATGGACTCTGGTTACCAGCAGCACGTACCTCACCAGCATATTTACCCGCACCCTCGTTACCAGCAAATTTTATTGCACGCGAATTTTCAGCGGAACCAGTATTGATTGCTCCCAATTCTAGCTCGACTGCTGCTTGCGCGGCATTTTCTTCTGAATTCCCCCGTGCGCACTCTCTGCATCCCACTCCGTTAAATCGAACGAGTTTATATCGGAGTTCTCTGTACGGCCAGCGGCGAGGGCCCGTAGGTGGTTCGTTAGGCTTTCGTGTTGGTAGGAACAGGCGAGGATTGCGCACTCTAGTGCGTGCCTCTGCTGCTGCTGGCGCGGGCGCAGCAGGAGCAGCAGCAGCAGGGGCAGCAGGTGCAGCAGGGACAGCAGCAGGGACAGCAGGCGCAGCAGGGGCAGCTGGAGCAGCAGCAGGAGCATCAGGAGCAGCAGCAGGAGGGACGGGAGCAGCAGGGGCAACAGGAGCAGCAGCAGGAACAGCAGGAGCAGCAGCAGGAGCAGCAGGAGCAGCAGCAGGGGCCGTACCCTTCTTTCTCAAATTCCCAAATCCCTTCAACCAGATGCCTCCTCTGTCTGAGATCTTCACGAAGCTTCTCAGAAAGGCCATGGCGGCAGGGAAGGTGCCTCTAGACTGGCTGCACCACCCTCTCTCCCCCGTGCTGCCCGCGCTGGTGCTTATAGCGGGGGCCATCTGGCTGCTGGGGCCACTGGTGCGGCTGTGCAGGAAGGTGATTAAAAAGAGCGACGCTAACTGGGAGGAATCGCGGTCTCGCCACGTGATGGTGTCGTATGTGCGCCCGCTCATCCTCTGGGGCTGCGTGCTCGTGCTCTGCGGGTGAGTGGCTTGAATGCCCCCTTTGTCGCCAATGCTCTCCTGCTCCCCGACAATCTCCCCTCGAAGACTGCTTTGCCTCATACCTCCAAACCCCCTGGACCCTCTTCCTCCCCACTCCTCCGTTCCTCCCCCCCATCAAATCCTCTCCCTTCCTGCGCCCTTCCAGCCGTTCGCCATGCCCATCAAATCGGGTCAGCTCATCAAAGACCGCGTTAGCCCAGACCTTCAAATTCCCTGAACCGTCCCCATCCCCTTTCCATTTTTCTGCTCCTCCTGAGTTTTTTTCCTTCCCAAACTCTCTCATCCGCCCCCCTGCCCGTGCAGCTGTTTCCAGCCATTCTCAATGCCCACGGAGGCGGGGCAGCTCATCAAGGACCGCTCTGTCTCATACCTCCAAACTCCCTGATCCCTCCCCATCTCGCTACCCCTCCTCCGCCCCCTTTCCCTCTTTCCCCGCGCAGTTGCTTCCAGCCATTCAGCATGCCCACGGAGGCGGGGCAGCTCATCAAGGACCGCTTTGTCAACTTCCTGCGATCGCTCTCCACTGTGCTCGTCTTTGCCTTCTGCACCGCCAAGTGAGATGCCTGTTGCTACGTCTTAGCTTCTGGGGACTTCATGCTTGAGGTTTACTTCTGAGTCCGCTTAGTCAGCACTACCAAGCGAGTGAATTGTGGTGTCCCTCAGCCCATGCCACATGCTTCACCCATATTTCTTTTCCGTTATGACTTCATCGCTTCAACCCTCTACGCGTTGCTGCATTCGATGTTGGACCCTCCCACTTTTTCATTCCGCATTTCCTGTCCTTTCTATCGCGTCTCCCTTTCTCCCCCCCCCCCACGTCGCAGCCTAACTCGGCAGATACAGAAGATGATGGAGAAGCAGAGCAACAAGGAGGAGACCCGAAACGTGAGTCGCCTACTTAAATTTATTCCTTGCCCTCCTTTGTGGCCCCCCGCCCCACACACACGCCCTTTCGCCCGCATTGCAAGCACCACTCTGCATCCGGCTCTGCTTTTCCGTTTCTGCGTTGTCTGGGTGCACCGTGCACGTTCGTGTGGGTGGCTTGTAGGAATGCTTGCATCGTTGCCAATTTCCACTTTTACACATTCGTTCGTTCCCCATTTACTTGTTTGTTCCACATACAACACCGGAACAGGTGGGAGTGCAGTTTGTGGGAAACACGGTGTGCACACTCGTGTGGGTGGCAAGAGTAAGCATCTGTGCGTTACCGCTTAAACCCCCCTACAAATTCCTGGTTTCCCCGTTACTCACCAGGTGGGAGTGCAGTTCGGGGGAAACATGGTGTACACGCTCGTGTGGGTGGCAGCAGGAGTGGCTTGGGTACATTGAAACACGGCATCACCCCTCCCCACCCACACAAACCCCCTCACCAGGTTGGAGTGCAGTTCGTGGGCAACACGGTGTACACGCTCGTGTGGGTGGCGGCGGTGTTTCTATTCATGGAGCTGCTGGGCTTCTCCACTCAGAAGTGGATCACTGCTGGAGGGCTGGGGACAGTCGTGGTGACCCTGGCAGCTAGAGAGGTGCGTGCTGAGAGATGAATGAGAGGAAGCGAGGTGGGTTCTGAGAGTGTGTTTCTCTTGGTGTGTTTCTCTTCACGGAGCTGCTGGGCTTCTCCACTCACAAGTGGATCACTGCAGAAGGGCTGGGGACCATTGTGGTGACTCTGGCTGCTAGAGAGGTGGGCAGTGCAAGGAGGACTCGAGAAAAGAAAGGTCTGAGTCAGGAGAGACGTTCGAGGCCATCCATCATCACTCATGAATGCAACGTAGTCAACAGCTCACCTCACTTCCACTCCACCCGTTCCCACCCGGCATTACCCACACCACCGCGCCCCCCCCCCCCCCCCCTCTCCCCATCAAATCGTGACCAACTTCCCCTCCTCTATCATGATTGATTTTGGCAAACGTTTCAAAGCCACCTCATCAAACTTTTCCCGTTCCTCCCGATCCACCCGCCCCGCTTCCTCCCCGTCAGATTGTGACCAACTTCCTCTCGTCCATCATGATCCATGCCGCTCGCCCCTTCATGGTCAACGAGTGGATCGTGTGCCGCATCGACGGCCAGGAGATATCCGGAACCGTGGAGGTGAGCAGGAGGGGATTTCCAGGTAGCAGGGTGTGCTGCTGATGTCTATACAGGGGGGTAAACTGTTACCCTCGTACAATAGGGGATGTAGAATCTCGATTGTTGTCTGTAATTGACAGACGGGGTAAACTGTTACCCTGGCTCTGTATGATGCATGCGCCCTCGTCCTCTCTCCGCCACTTTACTGCTGCCTGCTGCACGTGGGATGGTGGCGTGGGAGTGTACCCTGCTGCGTTGCAGAGTCAATTTGTGAAGCGCCTGAAATATAAGGCCATCAGATCACATTCTTCCCTTCTCTTCTCCTCCTCTCTGCAGCACGTGGGGTGGTGGGAGCCAACTCTAGTGCGAGGCGACGACAGGGAGGCGATTCACATCTTTTGTTTTAGTGTCTCATTTTTCACCCTCATCTTTCCTATTTTTCCCTCCCCTTCCCCTTTCCCCCTCCTCCTCCATGCAGCACGTGGGGTGGTGGGAGCCAACTCTAGTGCGAGGCGACGACAGGGAGGCGATTCACATCCCCAATCACAAGTTCAGTGTGATTGTCATCCGCAACATGAGCACACGCAACCACTGGCGCATCAAGATCTACTTCGGGGTCTGCCACCTCGACGTCAACAAGCTGCCGGTGAGATGCAGTGTTCTTTCATTTGAGGCGACTTGAAACTCAACCCAATGGCTCATGTTCAACCCAATGGCTCATGTTCAACCCAATGGCTCATGTTCAATCCTTTGCAAATGAGTACGCGCTAACACTGGCGCATCAAAATCCACTTTGGCGTCTGCGACCTCGACGTCAACAAGCTGCCGGTGAGATGCAGTGTTCTTTCATTTGAGGCGACTTGAAACTCAACCCAATGGCTCATGTTCAACCCAATGGCTCATGTTCAATCCTTTGCAAATGAGTACGCGCTAACACTGGCACATCAAAATCCACTTTGGCGTCTGCGACCTCGACGTCAACAAGCTGCCGGTAACCTCCGATTTCACGTTCGGAGATGCGTATGAGTGAGCTTGTGCTTCTGAACATGAGAAAACGCAGCACCACCAGCACACCCTGTGCCTGTGCAACTCACACGCCCATCAGAGTGCAACTCACACGCCCATCAGAGTGCAACTCACATGCGCGTGTGAGTGAGCTTGTGCCCATCAGAGTCCTTAGATTTCACTTCGGCATTTGGGGACACCCTGTGCAACTTCCAGCTCTCCCAACGCTCCTGCTCTGCCTTGTTTCCACCCCTCTGCTCCCATCCCGCCCATCAGGACATCCTGGTGGCGATGCGCAAGTTCATCGGCAAGCACCCCATGCTGGAGCGGCATTGCCTGGGGACACCCCTGTGCAGCTTCCACCTCCCCAACCCCTGCTCTGCCCTTTTCCACCCCCGTGCTCCCATTTCTCCATCAGGACATCCTGGTGGTGATGCGCAAGTTCATCGGCAAGCACCCCATGCTGGAGCAGCGATTTTGGAAGGGCGCATGTGTGACTGCTAGCCTTCTGTACCCCTTCCAATCCCATCCCACCCATCAGGACATCCTGGTTGCAATGCGCAAGTTCATAGGCAAGCACCCCATGCTGGAGCAGCGCCATCTGCACAGGCGTGTGTTTGTGGAACGGATTGATGAGCAGCTGCAGGCCATCATGGTGAGAAAGGGGTTGTTGTGGGGATGGGAGCATGCAGGCATGTGGAGCAGGCGTCTGTTGGCATGGGTGCATGAGCTGTTGGTAGTCCTTTACACTGCCATCACGTTGCCACGACCATCAGCAGCGCCATCTGCACCGGCGCGTGTGGAACGCATTGATGAGCAGCTGCAGGCCATCATGGTGAGAAGAGGATGAGAGGATGAGGTGGGGGATGGGAGGATTTGGGGCGGGGAGCATGCATGCAAACATGTGTTGGCATGGGTGCATGGGATGCTGGTAGTCTCTGCACGCACTGCCTCGACCATCGGCAGCGCCACCACTGCCACCAACTGCACCAGCGTGGGTTTCTGCAGCTGCTTTAATAAGCCCATTGTTGTGTTGTCACTGTTGTTTCCCTCCAGCACTCATTCTCCCCTTCTTATTGACGTGTCACTCGTCACTCACCCTCTCGCCATCCTTCCCTCTGTGCATTCCTCGCTGCATCTTATTGGACATCCTCCTATCCCCCTGCACCCTTCTGCACCGCTCTGCATGCAGGTCATGTGCTCGTGCTTCGTCAAGACCCCTTATTTCGAAGAGTACCTGCGAGTCAAGGTGAGAAAGGGGTGCCAGAAATCATGCCATGCCGTACACGTACCAGCTTGGACGCTCTGTCATGCTGTACCATTCAAACAAGGGATTTACTGATTCTTTCAGCACCTCGAAGAGAGATTGCGGATTTTGAGATGTGAAACATTTTTCTTGGACCACAGGCCTTGTCTATTCCTCTCTTCTCCTCTTCCTCAGACATCTCATTTCCACGCCTCTTTTTCCCTGTCTTGTTCCCCCACATTATTCCCATCACCTCCCAGGAGAATGTTGTTCTAGAGACGTACAAAATAATTCTCGACCACGGCGTCCGTCTAGCAACCCCCATCCGCTCGGTGCAGAGACTGTACGACGAGGGCGAGGTGGCACGGGGGGGGTACAGCGATGAGGATGAATTCGACGAGGAGGATGAGGAGGAGATGTGCCCAATACCTTCCCTGTCCTTTCCCGTTTCCCCACCCTTTTCCCCTTCCCAGGAGAACGTGGTGCTCGAAATGTACAAGATCATTCTCGACCATGGGGCTCGTCTAGCCACGCCCATCCGCTCGGTGCAGAGACTGTACGACGAGGGCGAGGTGGCACGGGGGGGGTACAGCGATGAGGATGAATTCGACGAGGAGGAGGAAGAGGACTATGAGGACGAAGAGGAGGAGGAGATGCGCCCCCCCGCGCTGCTCGTCGCTGCTGGGCTGGGTGTCGCTGGCTCTGGGTCCGTTGGAGGAGCAGGAGGGGGAGGTGGCGGGGGCGGAGGTGGGGGTGGGGGTGGGGGTGCGGGAGGGGGTGTGGGAGGAGGTGGAAGAGGGGGGTCGGGAGGAGGAGCAGCAGGGGGAGGAGGGGTTAGTGGGGCTGCGAGGGCGCCTGAGAATGGGGCGAGAGTAGGGGCAGGGGCAGGGGCAGGGGCAGGGACAGGGACGGGGGCAGGGGCAGGGGGAGGAGTGCTAGTAGGGGCTGGGAATGGGGTAGGCACGGGTGTGGGAGCGGGTGTAGGGGCAGGTGTGGGAGCGGGTGTGGGAGCAACAGCAGGGGCAGCAGCAGCAGCAGGGCAGGGAGGAGGGGAGGTGAATGGGCATGCGAGCTTGGGAGCGAATGGAGGTGCGAGCAGAGGCGCGAATGGGAACGGAGTGGTCGGTGCAGGCGAGGCAGGTGCTGCTAATGGCGGTCTGCATCACTCCCCTCCTACTCCTACTGCTGCTGCTAGTGGTGGTAGTGGTGGTGGTGGTGCTCCTGGTGCTCCTGGTGGTCCTGGTGGTGCTGGCACAGCTGCCAGTGGTGCTGGTGCTGCTCCCCCCTCCTCCTATCCCTCTGTCCCTCCTCTCCCTCCTCCCTCCTCGCCTCCCCCCTCCGCTTTCTCTCCTCCCCAAGTCTCCTCTCCCCCGCCTCCCATATCAACTCCCATGCAGCAATCCACGTCACTTCCCATGCAGCAATCCACGACACCTCCCATGCAGCAATCCACGTCACCTCCCATGCAGCAATCCACGTCACCTCCCATGCAGCAATCCACGTCACCTCCCATGCAGCAATCCACGTCACCTCCCATGCAGCAATCCACGACACCTCCCATGCAGCAATCCACGTCACCTCCCATGCAGCAATCCACGTCACCTCCCATGCAGCAATCCACGTCACCTCCCATGCAGCAATCCACGTCACCTCCCATGCAGCAATCCACGACACCTTCCATGCAGCAATCCACGTCACCTCCCTTGCAGCAATCCACGTCATCACCCACACAACCCTTCATCCCTCCTCCCCCTCCTCCCAGCCCTTCCTCAGCCCCTCCCCCTGTCCCTCCCTTGTCACGCCCTCCCTCCCCTCCCCGGTCACCTCCTCCTCCTTCTCCTGGTCCCCAATCAGCCCCTCCCTCTATCTCGCCCTCATCACGCCCTCCCTCCCCGCCCCGATCACCCCCTTCTCCCACTTCCCCATCAGCCCCTCCCGCCTTTCCTTCCCCTACCCCCACCTCATCCACGCAGGGAAGACCCCCTGCCAACCCTGTCCCCTCTTCTCCCCGTCCCCCCTCTGCTCCCTATCCTTCCAGTCCTCCCCAGCCCCCCTCCTCTTCTCCCCAGAAGCCCCCTGCAAAGCCCGCTCCTGCTGCTGCTTTCGCCCCTCCTCCCTCTCCGAACGTTCCTTCCTCCCCAGCTATTCCCACCTCAGCCGTCCCGTTAGCCTCCCCCGTTCTGCTGGCGACCCCCTCTCCTTCCACCCCCACCGGTGCTGGCCCGCTTACCAGCAGCCCTCCGAACAGGCAAGCAGCACCCACCACTGCTGCACCCAGTAGTGCCCCACCCACCGCTGTTCCACCCACCACAGCCAGTCCTGTTGCACGGGCTCCTGCTGGTCCACCTCCCTCTGCCGCTCCATCATTCTCTCCCACTCTTCAAACACCCAATGCACCCTCTGCTGCTCCTCCCCCACCACCAACACCCAGAGGCCCCGCCAACCCACCTGGGAACCTCAGCAGCCCAAGGCAGCCCCCTGCTTCTGTTCCAGTGCCCTCTGCCGCTCCCCCTTCCTCCTCTGCTACAGCTGCACCTGTCACTTCTCCTACCTCGCCTGCTACGGCCGCAACTGCCAATCCACCTTTCACCTCTGCTGCTGTCCCTCGCTCTCCTGCCCCCGCTTCTGGTACAGCTGCCCTTCGCCCTCCTCCGCCCTCTGCTACTGCTGGCCCCGTTTCTCCTTCTGCTCCCGCTGCTACATCTGCTACAGGTGCTCCCGCCAACGCCTCTGGTGCATCTCCCCCAACCACACCACAGTCTGCTCGAACCTCAGTTGGTACACCAGCAGCAGCAGGAGCACCACCACCACCACCACCACCATCAGCAGCAGCAGCGAGTGGAGATGCAACAACGGGAATGCAAGCAGCAGCGGGCAGAGTGCAAGGCATGGCAGGGCAACAGGCGGCACGGATGGTACCAGCACAGGGAGTAGCAGCTGAAAGAATGGGAGGTGCAGCAAGGGGAGGTGGAGCAGGGGGAGGTGCAGCAGGGAAAGGAGCAGCAAGGGGAGGTGCAGCAGGGGGGGGTGCAACACATTTAGGCTTGAGAACAGCTACGGCTGCAGGTGAAAGAATGGGTGAGCAAGGTGCATTTGCCGGAGGCAGTGGTGCTGGTGGTGCTGCTGGTGCTGGCAGTGGTGGTGCTGGCAGTGGTGGTGCTGGCAGTGGTGGTGCTGGCAGTGGTGGTGCTGGCAGTGGTGGTGCTGGCAGTGGTGGTGCTGGCAGTGGTGGTGGCATTGGTGGTGCTGGCAGTGGTGGTGGTGGCAGTGGTGGTGCTGGCATAGGTGGTGGTGGCAGTGGTGGTGGTGGCAGTGGTGGTGCTGGCATTGGTGGTGCTGGCAGTGGTGGTGCTGGCATTGGTGGTGCTGGCAGTGGTGGTGCTGGCATTGGTGGTGCTAGCTTTGGTGGTGCTGGCAGTGGCGGTGCTGATGGTGGTGGCAGTGGCGGTGGCGCTTCGGCAAGCAGGCGGGAGGTGTTGAGAGAGCAGCGTGCAGCGAGGTGGAGAGAGGAGCAGGCAATGAGGGGCAGTGGGGGCACAGGTGTGCGCCCCTCAGGGGAGTTAAGATCACCTCCTCTAATTTCCTCAGCATCGGTGCCTGCATCATCCCCATCAGCATCAGCACCATCACCATCAGCATCAGCGTCACCATCAGCACCACCATCACCATTACCATCAGCACCAGCACCATCAGCATCAGCACCACGAGCAGCAGCATTAGCAGCAGAACCAGCATCGATCCCTGCAGTGCCATCAGTATCAGTTCCATCACCAGCACCCCCCTCATCCACGCCCCCTCCTCCTCCTTGGGATTACCTCAACCCCCCTCCTCCAACCACGTCTGCCTGCTCCCCGCCTGAACAACCACGCTTTTCAAAATCAGCGCCAACGTCAACACCATTACCATCAATGCCACCACCCTCTCCAGTACCATCAATGCCACCACCAATGCCACCACCAATCCCACCATCATCAGCAGTAACATCATCACAATCCCAATCACAAACATCGCTTTCATCACAACCACCATCGCCATTCCCCACTCCAGCCGTTGTGCCACCATCATCACAGCCCCAACCACCATTGACATCCAGCCAATCGCCATTCAACCATCCACCGCCCAACCAACAACCACCCTCCCAAGCACAAGCAGGCTTAGCCTCCTCCCAGGCGCCAGCATCTCTATCTCCTCCCCGCCAGCTCTCCACCTCGTCCCCTCCACAAGCATCCCCTCCCCCTCTCGTCACTCCTGCACCTGCCTCCACTTCCCCTCGCTCCTCTCCCATTCCCTCCACTCCCGCTGCCCCCTCTCTGCCGCCCTCCTCTCCCCTTCCCTCCCCCAACCCCATCCTGCCCCCCACCTCCCCGCCATCTCCTGTGTCCTCCTCTCCCTCCCTCACACCCTCGTCTACCGCCCCCTCTGCCTCCCCCTCTGCCTCCCCCCCTGCCTCCCCCCCTGCCTCCCCCTCTGCCTCCTCTGCACCTCCAGCCCCAGTTCTCTCGCCTCCTCCCCAACCACCAGAAGTAGCTCCCTCAACCACGGGCACAGGCATGGGCACAGGCACGGGTACAGGCACAGGCATGGGTGCTGGTACAGGAGCAGACACACATACAGGCACAGCGGCAGTGGGTCAAAGTGGGAGGCTGACGATACAGGAGCAGGAGGTGAAGGCGGGTAGAAAAACAGTGGAAGGAGAGGAGTTGGGGGAAGAAGAAGAGGAGGGAGGGAAAGGGAAGGACGGAGAGAGGGAAGGAATGCAGCAGGCTATACTGTTCCAGGTGGAAGGGGAGGGGGGTTATGATACTGATTGGAAGGCTGAGATTCAACAGGCACTGGGAATGGACGGAGGTGATGAGGAGAGCGAGGGAGAGGTGAAACAAGTGGGACAGTCAAGCCAGATAGAGAAGAGGGAGAGTGAGAGAGAACACGAGAGGAGGCGGAGTGAGGATGGGAGGCGTGGGAATGAAGGGGGGCCGGGTGATTTGAGAAAGCGGGAGGAAAGTGAGGGTGTAAGGCTGGTTTCTGATGGGAAGCTAGGGGTGGGAGTGGGAATGAGAGTGGAGGTTGCACCTGCGCCTGTCTTTGCTGCTGATGTCATTTTAACTGGTGCAAATACACGGCCTGCGGTCACTGATGAAGGTGGTGATGGTGGTGGTGGGGTTGGCGGGGTTGGTGGAAATAATCTCACCAGCACCTCAGGCGTGAGTGCCTCTGACTTGGCATCAGCAGGCGAAGCAAGGAGCATTGGTGGGCAAGTGTTGGCACAAGGAGAGGTGGTGATGCGAGGGGGAGCAGGAGAGTCCAGACCACCGCTACTGGGAGCAGCAGCTGCTGCAATGATGAGTGAGGGTTTGAAGCCTTCAGCAGTAGCATCGGCTAGCTTCTCGGGTTCAGATTCAGATATAGCTTCAGGGACTGGGAAGGGCGGGGAAAGAGAAGATCCTGGTGCGACCAATGCCACAAGTACTGCTGGTGTTGCTGATGCTGGAAGCAGCAATAGCAGTGGTATGGGACTTGGAACAATGGGTGGCACGAAGCAGGGTCGATGAAAAATGCTAACCAAACTTGATAATGTTTTCGTGAATAACACCTGGAAGCGATGCAAGGTTCTACTTGTTTCCACTTATGAAGATGAATTCCTTGGTAACTCCTGTAGAACTATGAGAAAGACAAGAACGGAATGTATATGCTATTTGATCCTTCTACACCACCCGCTTGCGTTGTGTGTTGTAAGGAAAATCCCTTTTCCTTACTTCGCATCCCTGCTCAACGCGTACATCACTGTAGCACCTCAGTCAGCACCGTTACCACTCGCGATCATCGCATCGACAATCATCCCGCCATTTTTCACACATCGCATCCCGACCTCACGGCTCGGCTGGTAACCCGCGCTCCGGGCCTACGCCTCGACACTTTCCCAACCTCAGTCCCAGGCTCGTCGCGGGACTACCACAGACCATTACCGTTACCACTGGAGTTTCGCTATATATTCTTCGCTCACGCCCTCGCTCATTGTATTCTTGCTTAGATAGTGCAATTCTCGTTCGTTCACTCAATTGCACTCGTAACATGTGTGCACAAATGCTGGTGACGAAGGTTCCTCCGCCTTATTCCCTGACGTCAGCCTCGTTCATGGGGCAAGGCAACCGGGTGCAGAGGCTGGAACGCAGCGATTGGTTAACAGCGAGGGTTCTGGGTTCCAAGTCCCGCCAGTGTTTCCCCCCCAACAGTCTTGGGCGGAAACCCAACATCCCGTCAACCACGGGATGACGCAATCAATTTACAGAAGAAGCCACCTCGAAATTACGTCTCATCTGAGGCAGGAACCTTCGAAGACTCTGGCCTTGGGCTTTTCCCCTAATTCTTCAACGTCAGCAGAGTCGATCGACGGCTAGTGTTGCTCGATCTAGGTGCTCCATGCTCGAGTTGAGGGGCTGCGGAAAGCCAGGAAGCAAACTGCCAAAGAGATGAGACAAGAAACACAAATGTGATTCGGATCACGGAAGCCGACAGACACACACAGCTACTGTACTGGCGGAGAAAGAGGGTTTTGCGTGTACAAACTGATGCCTGATTGAGCCCCTCCCGGTTGCCTTGTGAAGTGGGCGTATAATCTGTAACGTGAATTTCGCATAAGTTTCGTCAATTCGCAGCTAGCTAAAAAGGATTCGCAGATGCTGATATAAAGGATCTGTAACCATATCCGTTGACATTTTGACTTCAGTCTCTTCATTTTGACTTCAGTCTGTTCGTTACAATTGGTTCATAACCACACGACGCGCTTGTGCCGTGGGTGCAACAGGCTGGGGAAAAAACCTCGGGTGCAGCGTTTCCATCTGGTACAGAGCAAGTTTGCGTGAATGGGGTGAGCAAATCCGTACTGTACTGTGCACGCAAGTCAGCCAGCTCAGGCGGGCACTGTAACCGCTTGAGTGCTTCCTCTTCACGCCACATAAAACTCAACCACGTCAGCGCTCCGCAAAGCCCAAGGGCGGGGCGCAGGCAAGGCAAACCCGCCAACCTCGAAAAGCATGTGTTGCTTTCGGATCCCGCCACGTCTACCCTCACCCTCCGGAACCAACCACTTTCGCACGGCGAGTGACGCAACCAGCCCAGCACTCGAACCTTCCACGTGGTCCCTCACAACCATGCGCTGCGGTCAGTGACGCCATGTACATCCCGGAGCACACCGCGGAAACTGTTGTTACCTCACCTCATCTCTTTATATCATTGGGTTACTCTCACTTCTTGTTCCAATTGGTGAGCATAAATATACAGAACGCTCAATTTCAAGGACCAATTCCAACCCCATTCGCTTCCAACGCAGCAAAGCTAACGGAATCTTTCAGCCAACATCATCAGCTCTCCCGATCTTCGTTCCTGATAAGTAGCAACAGTGTCCGCCGTGTTCCTCAATCACTTCGCTCCTCTCTCTCCCACCACAAGTCCTTCGCCCTAAATTAGAGCAGCGGTGAAACCCGGATTATTGTTCAGTGCGCACTTGGGCGTCCCACTGGGAGCTCAGCACTTAGAGCAGACTCAGCTCCGGAGGCAGGAGGTAAAATGGCGGAGTCCCATGTTGCCAAAGAGCAGCAGCTTGCGCCGCATGTGACGGCGACCAATGCCAGCAGCACGTCGACTATAGAGGAAATTCGCAAGAGGTACCGCATTGGCAAGAAGATTGGTACAGGTCGGTTCGGAACGGTCCACGAGGCGGTTGATAGGCAGACAGGTGTCCACGTGGCAGTGAAGACGATCCCTAAGGACAAATACAAATGCGCCGCGATGTCGCTCTTCCGCAAGAAGGACAAGGCGGAGGAGGAATCCACTCTCCGCCTGCTCCGCGGAGAGGCGGAAATTAGCCAGGCGATCGGCGGAAAGCACGGGAAAGGGCAGGCGCAAGGGCAGGCGGAAGGGCGGTCGAATGTGGTGGAGGTGTTATCTGTGATAGAGGGGCGGCGCCACATGTACATAGTCATGGAGCTCTGCCGCGGCGGCTCGCTCGCTAGTTACCTCGAGAAGCGGCGGCGCGGCGAGGTAACGGGCCTCGCACCTGCTATCCCGACCGCGATCGAATCGTCTGCCGCGGATCGCGGCTACGCGGGGTACGCAGGAGGGAAGCAGATGGCGCACGAGCAGGGTGCAGAGTCGGAAGGGGAGGCGGAAGTGGAGTCTTTCGCCCACCGCCTCCGCCAATTCAGCTCCGACGATCTCTCCGCATCCTCTTCCGCGTCTGACGCGGGACGGGAGAGCGATGACGATCACGACGCAGTGACCGCGGCGAGCCGACGCGAGGCCGCAAACCACGGGATCTCCCCCGCTACATCCGCCGCTACCGTGGGTTATTCCGCCCTGGCCTTCCTCGAACGCGGCGCGTACGGCGCGGCGCGACGACAGCAGCAGGAAAGGGAGGACGAGGCGGCGTGGATGGCTTACGAAATCGCGACCGCAGTGGCATACCTACACTCGCAGGGCATCATCCATCGCGACATCAAACCCGAGAACGTGCTCATCTCGCTGCCGCCCGTTTCCTCTTCCGCCGCTACAGCTGCTACAGCCGCTACAGTTTCTACAGTCGCCAGCGCCGCTACAGATGCGCGCGATCATCGCATTTCCCAGCGCCACTCCCGGCACCGAGCCAGCTTGAGCAGAGACGGCGGGGTTTCACTGAAGAAGCGCGTGGCGCTCGTTAGTGTCACGAGCACGCTGCAGCGGTCCACATCGCGTAGAATCACCCCCGTTGCAAGCAACCCCTCGTTAGACGAGCTGTCAGGGGAAGACGAGCACCAGAAGGAGCGTCAACAGCACCACCACAAGCAGCAGCAGCAGCAGCGTGTGCAGCGACAGCGGCTGGTTCTAGCTGATTTCGGATTGGCCGAGAGGGCCAAGGAGGACGGGACAGTGCGACGCGGAATGGTGGGCAGCCCCGCTTACATCTCCCCCGAGGTCGCCGGAGGATTGACCACCAGTTACCCCTCGGATATCTGGGGTATTGGCATCTGCCTCTTCCTGACGCTTTCCGGCGGGCAGTTACCCTTTTCAGGCCGCGACACGAGGGCGCTTTTGAGAAACATACGGCGGGTGGCGCTGCCAATGGGAACGGCGGCATGGATGGGTGTGTCGAGTGAAGGGAAGGAGGTGGTGAGACAGCTGCTGGCAGCCAAGCCCAGTGACAGGCCGTCTGCTAGGGAGGTGATGGCGATGCCGTGGGTGGTGGAAGGGCGGAACAGGTGGCTGCAGAGGCACTATGGGCAAGAAGCGATATGGGGTGGGGAGTGCTGAGACCTGGTGGTGCTTATATCGAGATAAGAGAGGCTGCTGTAGTGGAGTATGCTCAGAGCCCAAGAATGGATACCTGGAATAACACAATTTAGCCAATGTCAGGAGCAAATACCGTACCTAGTCAGGAGATGCATCATGCATGGGTTTTCTTTGCTTGTTGAAAAGAAGAAACTTAATTCCTTTTTGTATTAAATAATCTATACTGGAAAATAGACCTTTCATTACCATTTCATTTTACTGCTTCCTTTCTGCGCCTGCCTTTCCTTCCACAATGAATAAGCTAAACAGCTCCCCAAAGGCCCGTCCAAACAGCAGCTCAATGGTCTCATAGGTGTTGGGCTGAAAAACCCATAGGATCTTTGCAGGGGTGAACTCTGGGTAGAGTTGGTGTAGTAGCGGAAGCGTTAATTAAAGGGTTGTGAACCACCTTGCGCTAGTATGTGAGGGCAAAGTAAGTTGATTAAAACAGGTGGATACAGGTTTATATATGAGTACAAGGAATACGAAGAGATGCTGTTATAACTGTATTGCTGTTTTGGTTTGATACAGTGACGACTCGGGCAACTGCTCTGTAGCGAGTCAGTTGTGTGTACTTGCTATCGCGCTGTATTTGTCAGGTCAAAGGTAGCTGACCTTCGCGTAACCTCCAACAGTCACTTACAACCTCCGAGGATTGACTCGCCGGTGATTCGTTATACTTCGTTTCTTTTGCGTCTTAGTGTTTCGACACGACAGGCGCTTAGGACCGATTGTTTCCAACAATAGGAACAGAGCAGAAAGCATGCAGACAATCAGGAACACCATCTCAATACGGGTGTTACTATAGATGCTTAGTAAAGTGAAACTGTACTGCTGTAGTATAGGCAAAGTGATCCCACATTCTTTAGAGGACAGTCAAGTCCTGGAAAGGCAACCAACCAACCAAGTGCCCCATTTCTTGCAGCTTATGGTACATGAAAATTGATAAGCTAAGCAGCTCCCTCAGTGTCCAAACATCACAACCCGATGCATGCGAACTCTAAAATGGGGAGCTGTAAAAGAATATGGTGGCAGTAACGGTACACGATCAGAAACACAAGAACAGATCGGCATTACTGGGCAATGCCAAATGGCGAAGACATTTATGAAGTTTATCCCAGGTTGCGTGGAGAGATGGGATGGGGGATGAGGAGAGGCGCGCAGTGAGACAGTAATTGAGGCGCCTACGGTATCGTGTCAGTCTATCGGCTTGGATATGGAAATTTCTACGCGCGAAGTAACGACGAGGGGTCAAAGCTTATCCCAGGGGGCATGGAGAGGGAGGGGGTGGAGGGGATGAGAAGCGGCGAGTCGGGGGAGATGCCCGCTCCCTGCCGTTGCTGCCGCTGCCGCTGCTTCTGCTGCTCCTTGCGCCGCTGCACAAAGTCAAAGAATGCCTGCACCTGCTTCGTGTACCTGCAGTAATACACACGGTGGTGGGTGGAGAGAGGTGGAAAGTGGTGGAAAGTGGTGGAAGGAGGTGAATGCATGGTGATAGGAGCGCATAAGGAGTGGCAGAAAGGGATGCAATGAGGTCACATCAATGCAGGCAGAGACAGGGAAGCAATGGCAAAGGAGATTGAGGATAAGAGAACAGAGACAAAGGGGAAAAGCAGAAGACGGGACTGAGGATAAGCGGAAGATGAGTCAAGTCGACGAATGGGTGGGAAGAATTGATATGTTGTGATTGATGCTGCTGCGAATGTAGCACGGCAGGCACAAACGCAGGGAGATCGCACATGAAAACGGCTGCTGCAGAGCCGCATGTAAAACGTGCGGGAAGGAGGGTTTGGGCTAGGGATCTCACATTTCCTTTGCGTCTTGGTCGCGAATGAGGTCGATCTGAGCGTCGCAGTCCAGCACCAACGCCGGCACCTGCACGCACCGCACACCCAGGGCATAAATGGACCTTACATTGAAGGTGCCTAAAGAAATGAGCAGCACAGCCGAGAAACGACACACTATTGGATGCATGTGCTTCTGCATGCATGTGCTTCTGCATGCATGTGCCTCAGCATGCATGTGCCTCAGCATGCATGTGCCTCAGCATGTATGTGCTTCCGCATAAAACTGCTTTGCACGAAAACCCACGGCTAGGCATAAGCTTTCTTCAACCCACCACTGGCCCTCTCACCTGCTGAATGCTCGAGTGCAGATGCTCGCCCTCAAGAGCAAACACCCGCCCCTTGATGATCTCCGGTGTATCATCCTCCTCCCCTCTCCCCCCACCTCCTCCCCCTCCCCTTCCTCCCCTTTCCTTCAACCAATCGGGCTGCACAACAGAGAATCTCGGCCTCTCCTCGGCCGACTCAACCGGCAGCAGCCACTGCTCGTGCTTGTTGTGCAGGTCAGTCAGGTAGTCCAGGGAAACCCCCGCCTCCTCGCCTCGTGCGCGCTGCTTGAGGCGTTGGTGGCAGGTGTGAGGGTTGGCGCGCAGGTAAATGAATCCGTCTGGTACGAGGCCTGGCAGTGCCGCCACCACGGGGTCGAACCATGAGTCGTATATGCTCACCTCCATGGCACTCATCCACTTGGCCTCGTGCACTGCTCTAACAAATACCTGGAGAGGGAGGGGGGGCGGGAGGAGGGAGAGGGGGGTGACGGGAAGGGGAGGGCAGTGCTGCCACCACGGGGTCGAACCACGAGTCGTATATGCTCACTTCACTTCCTGTTGAAAGAAGGAGTGTTTTGAGACGTCTCAAAACGTATATGCTCACTTCACTTCCTGTTGAAAGAAGGAGTGTTTTGAGACGTCTCAAAACGTATATGCTCACTTCACTTCCTGTTGAAAGAAGGAGTGTTTTGAGACGTCTCAAAACGTATATGCTCACTTCACTTCCATGGCGTGCATCCATTTCGCTTCATGCACTGCCCACACAGCTTACAAGAATACACCATTTCTCACCTCCCCACCTCCCATCCACCACTATGCTGCTGAGCACCGATTGCTGCATCAGCCTGATAACCCCATACTGCTCCTCCTCATTCTGAACCCCCAAGCACTATTCAATCGCTCAACACGGATCGTTTCATCTGCCGGATGGGCCTTGAATCGACTCAGAATGCATTCCACCCCTTCCCTCTCCTCCCTCCCCCTGCTCCTGCCCCCCATTCCCCCTCCCCCCACCCCATAACCTCCCCCCCACGCACCATTCTATCGCTGAACACCGATCGCTCCATCAGAAGGATCGGCCGCACCTTGACTCAAAAACCATTCTCCCCTCCCCTCCCCCCACCACCCTCCCCATCCCATGCCCCCGATTCTCCCCCCCTCCCCACCCCCACGCACCATTCTATCGCTGAACACCGATCGCTCCATCAGCCTGATCGGCCGCACGCGCCCGGCGCTTTCGCGCTCCTGCATCATCCGCGTTACAAACACGTAGTTCTGGAACGTATAGGCGTACCGCTCCGGCTCCTCGTAAAACGCCTCCAGAATGTTGAACTTCTCCTGCCCCACGCTCTGCCAGCGCGCCACCGGCTCAGGCACCACCTCCACTAAGTCATGCAGCTTCACCGCGTCGCCTACTATTCGTTCTAAGAACGTCGTCTTCCCCACGCTTATATTCCCCTCCACGCAAAACGTGAGCCTGTTTTTGTGTCTCCCTAGGCTCCGCCCCTTCCCCGCGCCTCCCTCCGCCTCCCCCGCGCCGGCTTCCCCCGCGCCCTCCCCCGCGCCTTCCCCGTCCGCCCCCGCGTCGTCCGCGCCCGCTCCGCCGCCCTCCTCTTGCGCGACGCGCAGGCAGACGAAGTCCGTGATTCGCGCCGCGTGGTCCCGGCGGATGATGCCCACGTGGCTCTGCAGATACTCCTGCATCGCGCTCCGACCCTTGGAAGATTCCTGGAAGGCGAACTGTGAAGACGGGAAGGAAGGGGATAGCAGAAAGAGGAGGAGGCGGGGGGGTGAATATTAGGGACAGAAATAAAACGTAGTTCGGTCGTATCCCCACTCTCTCTCTCCTCCTTACCAAGAGTCCCAGCGCGACTATCTCACCTTATCTCTGTACAGTTGAGTCAGATTCGCGACTTCGCGAAACCCCCTCGCTTTAAGCTTCGCCAGGTTTCGCGGCCCTACGCCAGGCACCGTTAGAAGGTCGCTCCATACGATGCCATCGCCGTCCGACCCAAACCCTGTCAAACCTAAACCCCCGGCTCGGCGCCTCCTCACCGCCAAAACCGTCTTCCGAACCTCCTCCTTAGTTTCGGAAGCATCCCTGGAGCCAGCTTCGGCAGTAACAGTGCTAGAATCGTCCGAGAGTGCTTTTGCTGCCGGTACGACTGCCGTTTTTACAGCGTTTTGCTGTGCTTCGGAGGTTGATTCGGAGGGTGCTGCTTCGGAGGGTGTGTGGTGTCCGTCAAGTATTGTGTGCTCTACCTCCGACGCACTCTCGCGTTGGGAATGGCTGGCTCTCGCGAACTGACGGACTCGTATTGACGGCGATACACGGCGAGGAGCGAGCGAAGGGGACACGGATGACGATAACGAGGACGACAGCAACGAGGATGAGGATGCGGGTCGCGATGAGGAGAACGGTCTGCAGGAATTCGGATAGTGGGAGGAGCTGTGGAGAGACGAACTAGGGTTTGAAGGAGCCCGGGCTAGGCTCGTGGATACGAGCGCCCTGCTACCGTAGGTGGGTGTAACGGCTCTGTGACTGTAGCAACGTGTGAAAATAGAGCAAGGAGAAGCGCCGCTGCTGCTGAGGGAGTCAGTGTGGGATGAGGAGATGAGCGAGGAAGCTTGTGGTGGATTAACGCGGGTAACAGAAGATGACTGTTGAGTCGACTGAAGGATGATCGACGGTTGCGGGTGGACGAAGCGGCACGCCATAGCCGCGTCCGGGGGAGCTAGAAGCGAGGAGAGGACGCGGGTAGCGCGCTTGCTCTTACATACAGCTGCTCTCATCGGTCGGTTTAGGGACGTGGTGGTTCGAAACGCGAAACTAACGCGCATGGTTCCATGCGCGTAGTGCTAGCTGATCCTACTGCATGGTGTGAATCAACTATACTTGAACGGTTAGCGAGATGAGACGAAGGAGGTCAGAGGGTACAGAGATTCAAGGAACTTTCACCAGTTCGAGAAACTCCCGTTCTACTGGTTGCGATCACCTCGCCTAACCAGTTGCTGGTAGAAGGAATCAAACGCCTTCAAACATCATGAGACTAAGACCCTGTGGAGCTAGCAGGCGTTTGTCTGAGGTGTAGCAGCACCAGCTTCCTAAAAAAGCGTCATTTGCATTGCAACTCCTGCTCCATTTTGTGTGAGGGGCTTTTTGAGAGGGAAGCGCAACCGAGATTCCAGTGTGCTATCACCTAGGAGAGTTCCACACCTCGAAGTTGACAGACTGAACCGAAGCAGAACGCAGGGGAGCTGACCGAACCTAGGAGTATTTTTGGTTTGAAGGACGTGAGGGGAAATCAATAGGCGCGCCAGAGTGGTTCGTGGAGGTGCACATTACCGCTTGCACTAAAGCGGATGATGATTCGTTAAAGGTTTCCAAAATCTTTTATGAATCAAGAATATTAAACGGTATCTGGAAAAAGGACAGTACATGTTACAAAGAAATATCTCCTCTACATGCAAGTACCTACTATAACGTCAAGTCATTATTGCTTTAGCTCCTGCTCAGAGACTTTCGGCAAAGTATTATTGCTTATGGCTTGACCAATACGCAATTCTGCCTCATGCAATAGTAGTCATTACCATCATCAGCTAGACGCTTGCAGTACCAGAATGCAACGCAACTTATCCACACCCGTATCCTGCATGCACAGCAGGGCACAAACATATATGTGACTCAAACAACCAATGTATTTGTGAAACACCCACACGCAACGTAAGAGACATGCTGGATGAGAGACATCCACAGCACAGAGAGCAGGTTGCTGGGTTCAGAACGACGTTGCTGTCACTTCACCCTCAAAGCCATGTGGATAAACTCACCCTCCTCTGGGTATGCTCCCACTCACCCTCCTCTGGGTATGCTCCCACTTACCCTCCTCTGGTATGCTCCCACTCACCCTCCTCTGGGTATGCTCCCACTCGCCCTCCTCTTGGTATGCTCCCACTCGCCCTCCTCTTGGTATGCTCCCACTCGCCCTCCTCTGGATATTTTCCAACGGATTAACCTCCCTTCCTCTGACTCACCCACCCAAGGGATTAACCTCCCTTCCTCTGTCTCACCCACCCAAGGGATTAACCTCCCTTCCTCAGACTCACCCACCCAAGGGATTAACCTCCCTTCCTCTGACTCACCCACCCAAGGGAATAACCTCCCTTCCTCCGACTCACCTACCCAAGGGTTAACCTCCCTTCCTCTGACCCACCCACCCAAGGAGTTAACCTCCCTTCCTCTGACTCACCAACCCAAGGGACTAACCTCCCTCCCTCTGACTCACCCACCCAAGGAAATAGCCACCCATCTTCTTACTCACCCACCCAAGGGATTAACATCCCTTTTTCTGAATCACCCTCCCAAGAGATTAACCTCCCTACAGCCAACTTCCCTCACATAACCCCCTTTGCCTCCCACCCAGACACCCAAGGGGCTTCAGCCCCTTTTCCTCCCACCCAAACACCCAAGGGGCTTCAGCCCCTTTTCCTCCCACCCAGACACCCAAGGTGCTTCAGCCCCTTTTCCTCCCACCCAGACACCCAAGGGGCTTCAGCCCCTTTTCCTCCCACCCAGACACCCAAGGGGCTTCAGCCCCTTTTCCTCCCACCCACACACCCAAGGGGCTTCAGCCCCTTTTCCTCCCACCCACACACCCAAGGGGCTTCAGCCTCTTTTCCTCCCACCCACACACCCAAGGGGCTTCAGCCCCTTTTCCTCCCACCCACACACCCAAGGGGCTTCAGCCCCTTTTCCTCCCACCCACACACCCAAGGGGCTTCAGCCCCTTTTCCTCCCACCCACACACCCAAGGGGCTTCAGCCCATTTTCCTCCCACCGAGACACCCAAGGGGCTTCAGCCCCTTTTCCTCCCACCCAGACACCCAAGGGGCTTCAGCCCCTTTTCCTCCCACCCAGACACCCAAGGGGCTTCAGCCCCTTTTCCTCCCACCCAGACACCCAAGGGGCTTCAGCCCCTTTTCCTCCCACCCAGACACCCAAGGGGCTTCAGCCCCTTTTCCTCCCACCCAGACACCCAAGGGGCTTCAGCCCCTTTTCCTCCCACCCACACACCCAAGGGGCTTCAGCCCCTTTTCCTCCCACCCAGACACCCAACGGGCTTCAACCCCTTTTCCTCTCACCCACACACCCAAGGGGCTTCAGCCCATTTCCTCCCACCCACACACCCAAGGGGCTTCAGCCCCTTTTCCTGCCACCCACACACCCAAGGGGATTCAGGCCCCTTCTCTCTCACACTCAGCCAAGGGGATTCAGGCCCCTTCTCTCTCACACTCAGCCAAGGGGTTTCAGGCCCCTTCTCTCTCTCACTCACCCAAGGGGTTTCAGGCCCCCTCTCTCTCTCACTCACCCAGGCCCTCCCACCCATTACCTGCCAGCAGTAGGAGCAGCAGAAAGCCCACTTCCTTAGGAAAACAGCACCAACAGAGGCTGTGCCTTGTGGGGTGAGGTGCGGAAGTGGAAAATTGCTTCCAACCCAAGACTCAAATCCCACCCCTGACGTAGCTAGAGCTGACGCGAACCAGAGCCGCCGGCCGGTCGGCTCTGACGGTGCCCATTAAGCCTTAACGTCAGATTGGTTACTTGAGCACCGAGTGCCGTGCCGCACAGATTCCACCCACCACGCCCCGACTCACAAGTCACAACCCCAGAGGATGCTGCCCCTAAGGCAGTGAACTCCACGCTTGCTCCCATGCCCCCACCCACCCTCCCCACACTTCACCCCCATGCGTACTTACCTCTGCCTACCTTAGCCGTGCAGAGCGCCATGATGCTGAGGTTGCTGGGAAGTGGAGAGAGAAGGGGGGATTAGCAAAGGGAGAGACTCCTCTGTGGTCCAGGCAGGGTGCTGCTGGGAGGGAAGGGAAAAAGGAGAGAGGAGGAGGTGAGTGAGGGGGTGGACTCCACTCTCCCGCCCTGCTCCAGTGCTCCCACCTTCATCCTGCAGGGAGAAGAGGGGGGGTGAAAGAGGAGGGGATCAGCTTATCATACCTCACCTGTAACCTTACCACACCTGTTACCATACCTTACCTTGTACCATACCTCGCGCGCAGCTACATCTAGCCTAGCCAAGCCCCCCACCCCCACTGCTGCTTCTGCTGCTGCCGGTCTGCTACTCTGCTTCACCCTGCCGCTGCTGCTGCCCCTCCCCTACCCTCGGCGGCTGCCCCGCTGCTGCTCTGCTGCTGCCCCCTGCTGCCCTGCTACAGCCTTCAGTGTACCTGGAGGGAGGGGAGAGGGAGGGAGGCAGGGAAGAAAGGGAAAGCAGTGAGAATGGGGAGAAGATCAGGCGGAAGCATAAAGACAGGCAGGGAGTAGAAAACGGAAATAAGCATGGGGAGAAGACCAAGCAGCAGCATGAGTGCAAGAGGGAAAGAGGCTCACCTTGTTCCAGACGACCCAATCCCGATACTCTCCCATCCCATCACGGCCGAGTGGAGTGCTGCCCCCCTCCGCTCCCACCACTGCCACCTGCACGGCCACAGGGGAGGGGCGTGGGGGAGCGTTGGTGTTGACCCCACACCCCCCCCCCGCCACCTGCAATGCGCACACACAGAGCTAGTCAGAGCGCGGTGGTGGAAGCAAGTTGAATGGGAAACTGTGACTTGAAATCCAGCACAAGGGAAGGGAGGAGGAGGAGCCACTGGTTGAGGCACGACTGCAAGCAACAGACCCAAGGGCACCTGAAAAAAAACCTGAGGGGTGTACCTGCACCTGAGAGGGTTACCTGCACCTGAGAGGGTTACCTGAAGTGGAGGGGTCTGTGGCATGTGAACCGCGCTCAACCAAGGGCATTGTTTCAAAGGGAAGGGCGAAAGCACAACCGGCAAACGAAATGGCAGCAAGAAGGCAAAAAGCCATGATGAGGCGGGCAAGGGTGAGGGCATGAAAGTGGGTGACTTAGCTGATAGCGTGAGGGCGAGGTCAAGACAGCTGCAGCACCACCAGCTGCCTCCCTCCGAAGCAGCCCTCCTCCAGGTGCCTCCTCCCTGCACGGCCACAGGGGAGAGGCGTGAGGGAGCGTCGGTGTTGACCCCACACCCCTCCCCGCCACCTGCAAAGCGCACACACAGAGCTACTCAGAGCGCGGTGGTGGGAGCAAGTTGAATGGGAAACTGAAACTTGAAATCCCGCACAAGGGAAGGGAGAAGGAGCCACTGGTTGAGGCACGGCTGCAAGCTACAGACCCAAGGGGCACCTGAAAAAAAACCTGAGGGGTGTACCTGCACCTGAGAGGGTTACCTGCACCTGAGAGGGTTACCTGAAGTGGAGGGGTCTGTGGCATGTGAACCGCGCTCAACCAAGGGCATTGTTTCAAGAAGACTTTGCAACAGCAGATGAAACGAAAGAAACAGTATGCGGGCATGGGGGAACGGGTACTTAGCTGATTGTGTGGTGCAGGCAGAAGTGGGCGAGTGGGCAGGGTGAGGCGGGGCTTGAAGGGACGGACCTGCGAGGAAGAGGAGAAGGGAGAGAGAGATAGAGAGACAGTTAGAGGCAGGTGGGAGGCAGTGACTCTCATAAACGAGAAAACAGGCAGCAGTGTGATTGCAAAATGACGGTGCATGTGAGGCCAACCACAACCCCACAAGAGCCGCTACCAACCTCAACCTGCACCTGAACCTGAACCTGCACCTGAACCTGAACCTGAGGGGGAGTGGGCTCGAGTGGAGTGTGGTGGCAGGGGCGATACTGCAACCTCAACCGTTGATGAGGCCGGCACTGCTGCCCCGCTGCCCGCGCTCCTGCTGTCCGCCCTGGTGCTCCCCTCGCCTGCTGCTCGCCTGCTGCCCTCCCCCTGGCTTGTGAAGGCCTGGCAGGGAATGGAGGGGAGGGTAGGGAGGGCGGAAAGGAAAGGCAGCCGAAAGTAAGAGGGGTTGCAATGGAGAAAAGTGTCAAACACACGTGCAACAGCAGAAACGACAGTGCATGTGACGCCGACCAAGGTTCAAAGTTTCGGCGAATTTTTCAGATTTAGGGCGAATTTATCGCTATCGAAACTTTCGCCCGAAAGTTTCGGTTAATTTCGCCAAGTTCCCGAATCTCGCCTTTGCTGCGAAATTTCGGCGAAGTTTTCGACGAAATTTTCAAAACTCGCTGGTTGGAGAGGGGAACTAACAAAACGAGGACTGAGTGGGGGTCGATTGAAGATCTAGATCTGGGAAAGCCCCCCTCGGCCCAACTTTGAAATTGGTTGGGTTGCGTTTTCTAGATCCAGAGCGGTAATACGCGGTTAAAGCTCGCGGCCCAAATTGTACAACTTTACTAAAGTTGCATGTTGGGAGGTGAGGGAGCAGGGTTGGCTAGTCGAGGTGTTGGGTGGGTTGAGGGCTTTGGTTTCGCCCAACTTCTCGCCAATCTCAAACACATTTCGCTGACTCAGTAGACCCCAGGGGCCACTTCGCGTTTGGTTGCATGAGTCCCATATTGCACAAATACTATCCTTGCCAGTTTCCCACCCAACCCCTTCCGCAAACACTGTTTCAATTTTGCTAGCCAATCAGCTCAGTGTTTCAAATTGACTAGCCAATCAACTTCCTTCGTACAACCCGTAACCTCAATTCGCAAAACCAGCACCTGCAAAACAACTATCAATCAACCTTACTAAGGTTGCCCAGCGCGGCCCGCAAGAGACAGAAATTGGTTGGATGCTCAAATTGTGACGACTTTGTGTTGTGAGGGTCAAATTTCGAAATTGATGAGTTAGGGTTTGCCGTTCGCAAACTCATCAAGCTTAGTTGACAGTGCTCATACTCACCCCATAGAGTATCACCTTGCAAAATCCGTTTGAATTTCTTAAATACGCTTCTTAACTTCAGGCCGCGCCACGTCATCATGCCTTATTCGCCCTCTCCCCTATATCCATGCGTTTCAAGTGGATATTTGAGTCCCATCATAGTTTCTGGCCCTCGCCTCACCCACCCTCCCTTTTTGTGTTTTTGGGGTCCTAACAAAATTTCGCCGAAACTTTCGCAGCGAAACTTTCGCCTAGCGAAATTTTCAACCTTGACGCCGACCACAACCCCACAAGAGCCGCTACCAACCTCAACCTGCACCTGAACCTGAACCTGAACCTGAACCTGAACCTGAGGGGGAGTGGGCGCGAGTGGAGTGTGGTGCGATACTGCAACCTCAACCGTTGATGAGGCCGGCGCTGCTGCCCCGCTGCCCGCGCTCCTGCTGCCCGCCCTGGTGCTCCCCTCGCCTGCTGCCGCCCCCCTGGCTTGTGAAGGCCTGGCTGGGAAGGGAGGGGAGGGAGGGCAGGGCGGAAAGGAAAGGCAGCCGAAAGTAAGAGGGGTTGCAATGGAGAAAAGTGTCAAACACACGTGCAACAGCAGAAACGACAGTGCATGTGACGCCAACCACAACCCCACAAGAGCCGCTACCAACCTCAACCTGCACCTGAACCTGAACCTGAACCTGAACCTGAGGGGGAGTGGGCTCGAGTGGAGTGTGGTGGCAGGGGCGATACTGCAACCTCAACCGTTGATGAGGCCGGCGCTGCTGCCCCGCTGCCCGCGCTCCTGCTGCCCGCCCTGGTGCTCCTGCTGCTCGCCTGGCAGGGAAGGGATGGGAGCGCGGGGAGGGGAGGGAGGAGAGGGGAGGGTCGCGAGGAACGAGGTGAAGGCAGCGGGAGAAGTGGGAGCAAGAGTGAGATGGGGAATGGACAGTGCAGCGTGCGAGACGGCAGGAACAACAGGCAAGACAAGGGAGGGGCCACTGGTGGAGGCACATCCACAAGCCACAGACCCCCAGGGGAACCTGAGGGGGCTGTAAGGCTTTAGGGGGGCTGAACCTGTACCTGATGGGTTCACCTGCAATGGGGGGTGGGGGTCTGTTGCTTGTGAGGCGGGCCGCAACCAGTGGCGAGTATTTCAGGGAGAAACGGTGAGCAGCAACGGTGGGCAGCAAGCGAGGGAGAGTGGAGGGAGGAGAAGGCACTTAGCTGGCGGTTGAAGAAGCGCCGAGCGCTGATGCTGCTGCTGCCGCAGCTGCTGCTCACCCCCACGCCAACGGACGGACAGCCGTGCGACCATTTCGCCATGAAACGGATCGCGGACGACGACTTCACCACGCGCGGACGCGCGGACAGCGATTTCGCCGTGCGACGACGCGCAGACAGCGATTTCGCCGGGGTACATCGCGCGGACGACGATTTCGCCGTGGTACTACGCGATTTCGCCGGGGTACGTCGCGCGGACGACGATTTCGCCGAGGTACGATGCGCGGACAGCCGCCTAACTGGTCGACGTAGACGGACAACCATCTCGCAGAGCAATTGTTCACGCGCGATCGACCGGTCGTCGCGAGTTGAGGGCAATCGTCGCGATCGTCGCGAGTAAAGGGCGATCGTCGCGAGCAGAAGACCACGAGTCGGCGACGGTCGCAGTGAGCCTGCAACGCGCATGGCGACCAAGATATGCGTCAGAAGAGGATAACGGAATCAGGCATGAAGCATTAACACGCGAACCAAAAAGTCGCGAAGCTGAAATCAATGCAGCAACGCTTACATTTCGTTCGCTCGGGATATGTGCAGACGGTCGGCTTGATTCGCGGTGCGGAGAAGCTGCGTGGATGGCGCGTATGGCGTACAACTCTGCCCGCGCTGCGTAACGACCCGCGCTGACGACTGCGGATTTTGCTGCTAATGGCGGAAACCTCGGCTGACGACGGAAGTCGCTGTTACGGCGGAAACCACGGCTGACGGCGGACATCGCTGCTACGGCGGAAACCACGGCTGACAGCGGAAATTGCTGTTATGGCGGAAACCAAGACTGACGGCGGAAATCGCTGCTATGGCGGAAACCACGGCTGACGGCGGACATCGCGGCTGACGACAGCAATCGCGGCCAACGGCAAAATTCGCGGCAAGCATAGAAATCGCTGCTGATGTCGAAGTTTGCTGCTACAACGTTGGAAACAAGCTGCTAACGGCGAGAATCGTTGCTGTTGAGATAAATGTTACCCGCGAGAACCGTTGATAGCGGCTGCATCGTTGCTGCCGATTGCAGAAATTGCTGTTCATGGCGACAATTTCTGCTTACAAAATCGCTGCTAACGCCGAGATGTTGCAACGAGAGGCCCTCTGAGCGTAAGGATTGCTAGGCTAACGACAGAAATCAGCTATGAACGCAAAATCACGCTCCATTCTTGCGCAGATGTTGGAATTTGCAGGTTGCAGTGGCGAGAGAAGCGGAAGATGGAGGAGAAAGGAACAACAATCGAGTTCCCTGCAACTGCATCCTCACTGCCCCTGCTTTCCACGCCCTTGTGAATGTTGAAGCAGCATTGCTTGACAGAAACTCAGGTGCTGGAATCGGTTGAGATGGCTGCGGAATGGTTTCCTTATGGTGTGTTTCTGGTTATCCTGGCTTCCGCTGATGCCCAACAGGAAGTGTTCAGAACAGCCTGAAGAATCCCAACCAATCCCGAGGTGGGACAAGCGCCCAAGGTGGAAGCAACGTAGACATGATTTTGCGCATGTGTTTTGCCGCCAGCGCGGGTGATTTTGGAAAAACGGCGGGGTGACGAAACGCGTAGCGAAGCTCTGAACGAGCTCTCACGAAACATTGGCGACACAATTACTTCTCGTTTCCGTGTACTTTGGAGTATTTCGCTGGGACGATAGACCATCGCAAAACGATCGTGAGTGTCGCCCCGCTCTCGTCAAGCCCAACGGTTCTGGCTATGATTCCGCGGGCTGGCGGACGTGCTCCCCAAAAGGACCTGACACACCAGTGGGTGCGCGCAGACCCTGCGGGTTTGCGGAGCGAGAACTTGGAAAGGTCGTCACGTCATCTGCTCCAACGGTTGGTTCCGAGCGGCGCAATTTGGGGAAACTGCGGAAACCCTTCATAGGCCCGATCCGACATCCAACGAATGAAATGCATATGAGCAGAATTGTTGTCATCTTTCTCTACAACATCTTTCCGTATCAGTATCAGCACACGTACAGTCAAGTCGTTACTACACTCATTGTCTTAGCTACTACAACTTAATGTTATCAGCGTGCAAGCATACGGTACTAGCAAAAGCCTGATGCACTGCACATTGACCTCTGTCAAGATGCGACACTGAACTCAAGAGAGGGATGAAGTTCTGTTTTTGGACATTGCTGATGAAAATTTCATTACTTTCATTTGTATATATATAATCCACATGTGCCCATTTGAAAATTTCAACAATTCACAATTTAATCTTGAACATGAACGTAAAAATTGTTGCATACCCTGTTCAACTTACGGTAATACAAGAAATGATAAGCATAAATGTGGCTATATTATCTTGTAAGAAGTATTGAGATCATTAC